CGTGTTTTCCACCCACGGGTCGGTGTAGTAGGTGGAAAGGAGATGCTGTGATACTGCGGTGTTCATTCATATGGCAGCATGAAGAGCAAGCGGTACACTGATGATATATACGTAAAGAAAGTTATCCACACGCCAATCCTAGACCCTGTTCAATGACCTTATCAGCACAGCTGAGCTGTGGGGGTGGAAGGGAAGCTCAGGGCTGCTGCAATGCGCCTGGTAAATCCCGGAGGCTGGTGGAGCAGGTGACCTGAGAGCCTATCGGGCAGTGGGGACTTAATGCCTGAGGCACAAAGTCCCGGCGCTAACCAGCGCACTTGCCGTAGCGACTGGACAATCATTGATGAGATTGACTGACTGACTTGGATTTTGGGGGCTGAAGTCGTGAAGTGTGGAACTTGATTTGGTGCCCAAGAAAGACAACTTGAAAGACAACAACAGCACACTGGCAACTAGACTAACTAACTGTCAGATCTACACTCTAGTTACAGCCTGGCTAACACCTCATTAGACTGTTAAGTTAGACTGAGCACTAACTAATTAATCCACTCCTAAGTCCGTCTCCCCCGACTACGGTACCTATTAGAACTAGCCTGTGCTACCTAAATTCACCACCACCACCACCACCACCACCTCAAATCACCACTAACTTCCCACCACCTACTAACTACCACCGGACCCCTCATCTTGTGAGAAAGAGGCTGGTTCCTTGGCTATACTTATCTATCCTGCCTTAGACACTCGTTCTCCACTCGTATCCTGCCTCCTCTCCCTCCTTTTCTCGACCCCTCTCCCTGTTTCTCTTTTTGTACGGCCTCTTTTGGGTCTCGTTTCCCAAATTCGACTTCCGACCGTCTTTCCGCTCGTTCCCCTTACACGAATCCTCTGAGACAGTTTTCGGGTCCTCTTCCCCGTTTCCTTGCTCCCTGCGTCTGCTCGTTGCACTTAAACCGGCACATTTCCCGGCTTAACCACTGCTGGCCCTGAACAGAGCCTCCTCGGAGCTTCCTTGTCTGCTGCACTCATGCAGTCCACCTCCAGCACCTCTCGCTCCCAGCAGCGAAGTCCCTCCGGCCAGCATTTTCCCTCCGGTTCAGGAAGCAGTGTCGAGTCCACTATGGCTTCTGCGCCCCGCAGCTCGTCTAGCTCAACACGTTCTCAGTCCTCCTCGAAAACTGTAGTGGTAAGTCGCGCCGCTGCTGGTCACCGCCCCTTATTGTTGCTCCACAAATGTTCCGGTCTGACCTCGTGGTGCTGATGATCCCCGTCAGCCCGAAAGACAGATCAACCAAATTGAGAAAAGTGTCACGCATCTGTTAGTGGCCACGAAACAACTGCTCGAAACCTTGACACAATGGTCCCGGCGACAGGCATCGGAGAACGAGGTCTCCGATGTCTACGTGCGGTTGGGCTACGAATTCAATCTGGCTTGTCGCGCATTTAACGCTATCGGAGTCGACACCTCAGATCTTGGCCCTGTACCAGACCTCCTCCGCACCATCCTTGAAGATACCCTTAGTCAAGATGCATCTCCACAAGCCCTCGATCGCTACCTCCCCCGCATTCGTGACATCATCATCAATCTCCTACATGGCCTCAAAAAGAAGCAAGCTCGTTTACGGTCTCGGCAGCAAAAGGAGGAAAGTAGACCTTTGCCCGGTCGACAGGCAAGTACTGGAAGTGCTGCAGCTACACAGGCGGCCATGAACCAGGCTTATGAGGAAACTGCGTCTACGGTGACCTCCCCGAAGCGATCAACCCGTCGCTACGGAAGCAATGGCTCTGCGGAGGATGCCACGGCGCGAACATCATCAACTATAGGAGCGGATGCGCGAGGCTCAAGCTTTTCCGAACGCGAGGCCTCCAGAAGAGAGACACAGAGTATCTTGTCTCAATCCTCTCACACAGATAGTGCAACACCCTCGAAGGCTCCCGTGGTTTCATCCACTACGGCCTCGTACCCCGCACCGCCCCCTCCTCCAAAGCAGGACGATGCACTGGGTGCTTTGCAGAGAAGCGGTGAATTGGAGCGCCGTGCGTCTCGACGATTTTCTGCGTATCAGATACAAAAGCACTTGGGCGGCTCATCAAATGGAGTTCCCGTACTTCCGTCTCAAAATTCTCCCATTCCAAACCGTGGTCGGGACGTGCGTGAATCTCTCAATGCTGTGCGCTTGCGTGGATCTGTTCATGGACGACAACGATCGACTAACCGGCTGACGGACCTCAAAGGCGCCGCGGCGCAGACACCTTCGAAGGTACCCAGTATCGAAGAGGAGCGCCCAAAGTCCCACGCAGAAGCTCGCGCACAGTCACCCGTGGAAGCCGCTGCAACCACCAAAGACACGGCTCCGGTACGCCCCGAGGACGACATAGCAGATTCTTCCGTGACCGGACGACAGCCAGAACTCCCTCAACCTCCAGATGAACCAGCCCTCGCCGAGGCATTTGAGCCGACAAAGGAACCGACAGGACCAGCTCTACCTGGCACGCCCAAATCAGAGCGACGCCCGCCGTCTGCCACTACCGCCACCCCGCCGCAATCGTCTCAATATTCTCCAGAACAGCAAACTCCAGGCAAGGAGCTCACCTTGTTTCTGCAATACAGGAGCAAAATCAAGAAATTTGTCCTTCCCGAAGGCTATTCTGGCCTGACCATTGGGCGCCTTCAGTTGGCTTTCATCGAGAAGTTTGCCTGGAATACTCACAACAATGGAGTCGATCTACCGGAGATTTATATCCAGGATCCCGTTTCTGGCGTACGCCACGAACTGGAAGATCTGAGTGACGTTAAGGACCGATCTGTTTTGGTGCTCAATGTTGACATTCTGGATGAAGTCAAGAAGCATTTCGATGATGAGTTTGGTGGAGTTCGTCGTTTGATTGAAGGCGTCAAGGGTGCTCTTGAAGGTCAAGAGAGCATGATGCAGCGTGTTTCGGAGCGCCAGCTGGAGGCGGCGAAAGAAATGGCTCGCTTAGCCGCCGCACCTCCCGCGCCTGGCCTAGCCACCTCGAATCTCGCTGACAGCCGTAAGGGCCCTATCACAGGAAGCGACAGCCAACTTGCAGAACTTCAGAGCTTGAGACGCGATCTCGCCGTTGTGCGCCAAACGTATTCCAACTTCTCTTCCGACATTGCCAGCTCCATGAATGCGATTCGTACCAAGGCAGGCAGCCTGAAGACTGTCGCTGCAGATGTTTCTGTGCCATCCTATGAAGGCGATGCTGGTCGTATGCGCGTGGATGCTGGCAAGAAGGAGCTCGCTGAAGAATCCGAACGCCTCGTGGCCCGGGTAGACGATCTTCAGGATCTCGTTGAGGATCTTCGCAAGGATGTGGTGAGCCGTGGTGTTCGTCCCCTTCCAAGGCAACTCGAGACTGTCAGCAAGGACATCAGTGCCGTTACCAAGGAAATCAAGAAGATGCAAGAATTCCTCAAGCGGGAGAAGCCTGTGTGGACGAAAATCTGGGAGAAGGAACTTCAGCTGGTTTGCGAGGAACGGGATCAGCTCACTATGCAAGAAGATCTCGCAGCTGATCTTCAAGACGATTTGGAAAAAGCTGCTCAGACTTTTGCCCTTGTTGAACAGGCGACTAAGCAGCAAGCGATGCAGAATGCTACCGGTGGTCCTGCGCTGCGTCATACTTCGCGCAATGTGGTGATTGATCCGGCAGTCGACCCGGTGAAAGCCAAGGACAGCGTTCTTGGAGAGGTGCGTGCTCTGCAACCCAACCATGAATCTCGGTTAGAAGCGATTGAGAGGGCAGAGAAGGCTCGCCAGAAAGAGCTTGAGACTCGTCGAGTTGGCAAGTTCCAAAAAGAACTCGGTGCATTTGTTGAGGAGGGCAAGCTGAAGAAGAGTGGAGGCGTGGAAGAGGCTGAAAGACTTCGTCGCGCTAAGGATGAACGTATTCGCAAGGAGGTCTGGGAGAGACAACAGGCGCGCGCAGCCGAGTTAGCAAAAGCTGAAGCTGAAGCAGCGGCAGCGCAAGCGGAATCGGCTGAGCAGCCTGAGGAAGATGCTGAAATGAAGTCCGACACAGAAAGTCAGGAAAACCCTGCGGAGGAAATTGCAGCCACGCAGGGGACCTTTCTTCAAGAAAAGAATTCTGCTTCTGAGGACGACGACCACGAGGCAGAAGAGGAGCAGAATGCACCGAGCTCGGAGGTTGAGAAGAACGACGAGAGTGACAAGCAGGAGGAACCTATCAACGATGCTCATCGTCCCGATTCTGGCCCCTAGGAACTAGCGCTGGTTGGCCAGCCTGCGGTCAACATAATCAGCTGCATTTTCATTTTTTTCATCATATACATCCTACACTTTGCTTGACTCGTCTGGATTGCACTCTTTTTGACGTCTCCTTTGTGTGTTTTGGCCCATACCTGCACTCTCACTATCATACCTTTCCCTTTACCTGTTTTGCTTGATTCGTCTCACTTGGCTCCGCCCACTGATTGCTGCGTATTCGAGAAACCTTGCGCGTTCGTGTATTGATACCCTGCCAGCTTGTGGCGCGTTATGAACATTGATGATACAGGGGAGGATTGGTGTTTCTTGTCTTACATTGCTCCGCCAGCCTCGGGCGAAAGATGGATCAAGCATGTGGAGTAGTCTCTGCATTTTTTACATTCTTAGAGAATTGATGGCATGTCGAATGTTGCTAATGGCGGAGAATACATTGCACAAAACATCGTGATTGTCTTGTCAAGTGCAGGATATTCATATGCTCATTCATACCCGTATCCTCTAAATCGGCCATAAATGACACAGGCTGCTGCCCATGTGGCCCGAAACCCGTCCTCCATCTATCAATGGCTCATGAATGGCTTTGCGACTGCCTTGAACTAGCCAGCTGAGTGTAAAATGCACTGCTAATTCCGGGCCGAACCTCAAGATGAGCCGGCTAGCTCGTTGAGGTTAGGTAAGACTGCAGCCATCCTTGTTTGCCACCAGCGCGGCAGATAACTGAGTTCATCGTTAACTCTACCTACCTTGAATCTTGAGCTTAAGTTACCAATCAGATGAGTGAAGATATCACCACTACTGGGATCGGCGATGCCATAATACATGAGCTCAACGAGTGTGATTTGATGAACACCAGAAGGTAAATGCAACTTGGATCCAGTATTCCGTTCCACCTTAGTGTGAGATCATTCGCAAGAAGCCAGGTTCAAACTGCCTTTGGACCCTTTCGACAGAGGCAGATCGCCTCTGACTATAATCACCTGCTTGGCGAAAAATCAAAGGACCCTATCATTGCTGCATCTTCCAGTCATAGCCCGGTGGGAGAATGTATCTGCTGTTAGTGTTGAGCTCAAAATGGAGCGAGACATTTCCTTACAAAGACATGAAGCCACTAGTTACATGCTGTCTCTTCTAACTTAAGGAGAAGGCCTAATATAATGACCTCCATGCTCTTCAACAAAGGAGTTCAGTCACACCATGAAAGGGATCTCGTCTCTCCTTTTGTAATCTCAGTCTAAGGAGAATCAATGACATGAGCGGCCCCCTGGCATCCAAGACAGGCAATTCGGTAGACCTCATAATTTCGGCGATAAAACCGATGCTGACCTACTTACGGGTCCTGTCAGGGGCTATGCAAATTGCAGATCGCGATATTATCATTCGACGAAGATCATGCAAGGGCTCCTTGTACACCATCATGTCGTTTCAAGGGCTTACGCAAGTGGCTTCACAAGAATGTACATCATTGGAGGTTTCAGATTCATCCTGCAACACAGTTTATTCCTGCTCGAATTTCCCAATCAGATCAATTGATACAAGTATGTCAAATGTCTTCTTTCGCGCTCGGTCGATGAGCGCACTCTTTTTATCTAATTTTCACAATGGAGGACAAAGCCTACCGAGTCGCTCAAGAGGAAGAGCTGCAAGATTCCCTCGTGCAGCACAGCCAGTCTACGGTCATCATCGATTTTGAATCAGACGAACATCCGCACAGATGGCCAAATTTTCGAAAATGGGTTGTCTTGTTCACTCTAATCCCCCCAACTTTCCTGATGCCGTTGTCATCCACAATCATTGCGCCAGCTATAGACACAATCTCGACTGATTTGAATGTCACGTCCACGTTTACAAGCCCATTAGCAGTGTCACTGTTCTTGATCACTTATAGTATAGGGCCTCTGCTATTAGGTCCCCTCAGTGAGCTCGTGGGGCGTGTACCTGTTCTACAAGGAGGAAATGCATTCTTTCTTGTCTTCAATGTGGCTGGCGGATTTGCACGAAGCTTTCCTCAATTGCTTGCTTTCCGATTGCTGAGCGGGCTTGGTGCAAGCGCAACTCTGGCGGTATTTCCTCTTTTTTCCTTTCCATCTTGACAGGGCATCCATACACTAACAGTGTGAGCCAGGTTGGATCAAGCACAATAGGCGACTGCTTCCGTCCCGAGGAGCGCGGTCTCAGCATTGCACTTCTAAACATGGGCCCGGTTCTGGGATCCTGTCTCGGCCCGATAGCCGGAGCCTATATCACCGACTACACGAGCTGGCGATGGGCGTTCCATGCTACTTCTATATTCGCGGGCGTCACCATCCTGATTGGGACTTGTCTATCCAAAGAGACATATGCACCGGTTCTTCTTCGACGCAAGAGAGATCATTTGCAGTCTTCGCCGCAACATAGAGACGCAATGCTTCGCACCCGCTTTGACATGGACGACGCCAATAAGCCTGACGATGAGACCCTGGTTCACCTCTACAAACGCACCCTCCTGCGCTCCATTCACTTGCTTCTTACTCAACCAATTGTTCAGGCATTAGCTCTTTATTATGGTTACCTCTACGGTCTGGTCTACCTTGTTCTCTCGACTTTCTCTACTTTGTGGACCACGCAATATCACATGTCCACTAGCCGGGGCAGTCTCAACTATTTCGCCCCATGCATAGGCTACCTTCTCGGTGCACAGACCTGTGCTGTTGTTGCCGATAAAATCTACTGTTTTCTAAAGCGGCGCCAACAACAACAGCAGCAGCAGCAGCAGCAGCAACAGCAGGATTCGCCTGCCCCCACCGCCAGTTCTGACGGCTTGGAAGAGAAATACACTCCCGACCAGAATTCCAAAAAGCGTAACCCTGAATTCCGCCTTCCGCTGATGATTCCTGCCAGCCTTCTCATCCCAGCCGGTCTGTTCATTTACGGGTGGACAGCTGAGGCTCATACACACTGGATCTTTCCAGATCTCGGCATTGCCCTGCCCTTAATGGGCGCCACGATTATTTTCCAGTGCACCAACGCCTACCTCCTCGAGACGTACAGTGTCTACGCGGCCAGCGCCAACGGTGGTGTATACATCCTGCGGGGGCTTACGGGCTTCGGGTTTCCCTTGTTTAGTCCGCCCATGTACCGCGCACTGGGGTATGGTTGGGGGAATTCTGTTCTGGCATTCACGGCGCTGGTCATCGGGTGTCCCATTCCGTGGTTTCTGTGGAGGTATGGCGAGGCGCTGAGACGGAGGAGCAGCTGGGCCGAGCAATAATGGTTTCTTTGACGATCTCGCTTGATGATCTCTCGCTCGATCGACCAAGTGGTGGAGTTTGATCGCTCAGAATGTATAATTAGACCTGTTCCCTGTCATAAATACGTGTTCGATGAGAGTGGATATAATACTATCATTAATGTGGTAAATTGATCACGTGGAATAGCTAGTCCAGTAATAGGAAGGGGCCGCAGAATGACCAACCGTCCCATTATCATATCGGTTCATGTTTGTATAGCATTTTTTCTCTCCCGAGCGACAGCGAGCCCCTCCAACTTCTCCCAGTTCTCAGTTTTTACCTTCATGTTGTGCAGCCACAGAAAGTTCAAGATGACGATTTCAAGAACGAGACCAACCCCCCCCCCCCTGCCACCCCTTTTTCGTAATGAGACACGCAGCAGACGCGGCTCTCCGCCATCCCTGGGCAAGGCACATACCAGGGAGTCCTCCACGTGATGACGAGCATCTACATGCAGCCAAGATGACTGCCTGCTGTGGATTGTACTGTACGGTGTGAGATACACATATACCTCCCAGGAAGGGTCTACGCTGAAGAGCATCTCATCGAAGCAAATTTCCTCGATCCAGCCATTTCAACTGCACCGAAAGCTGATCCGCACCCCTTGCAGTTCAAAGACTCACAATTTCGAACACTCGTCGCCTTCGATATCTCCGCGTGCGGACAGAGAATCAATCGTCTTGACCATTGCCTTCGCGCATGCGCAATGAACTGGCCGACAGCATCCTATCGACACCTGGAGTTCAATGTTTCCACTATTGTGGCTTATTTTAATTGACCGTGCCAAGGAGTCAAATATGCATGTCGAAGCAGATCATCTCGGACGGCCACAGGGGGGTGTCAACCACGCAAGCTTCTTCCTAAAATGACTGCCTCGGTATGATGGAGAGAGCAATGATGATTAACGCGTCTTGACTCTACGTCAACCTTTCTCGAAACTAAGAGCCGTCGATGGCTTGCACTTCCGCCGGGTGGCGCTTCCCTGACAACGCTGACGAAGCCACCATGCAAGGGGCATCCCCAATCGCTTGCTACCGCTAGAAGCGATTTCATCATTGGCAATAGACAACTGCATAGACTTTCAATGCTGCATCAGAACATTTGCTTTTCTGCCGCTCTCATTACGTATACCGAAAATCATAGTCGGCCAACGCCCTTGATGGGTGCTTTACAGTTCTCAAGGATGATCGGCACGGAATTCAGTGGGTATACCTATAACCAAGCTTACGTTGACTGAACCAAATGGATGCAAAGCCCTTGGGGAACTATTTATTCTGATGCCGACCTCTGTGTGTATCGGCGTAGCAGAGAGCCGAAAAAAAAAATCTTAGCAACACTAGCAACAATGGGCCCCGCGTATGTGGAACTACATACAACCTCGTTACCCTTACCTTCGTCAGACTGACTTCCAGACTCAAGTCTTAACACGGCTCCCATCTCCTGGCAAGAAATCAAAGACATTGCGCCTATCGCTCGCCAAGGAGCGGCAGAAGTAAGAGTCGCCCTCAATTTAGTAGGACAGGAAAATTGACCGCGACAAGCAACTATTGCATATCTGGACGAGGCAAAAATATCGTATTGACCCCGAGGCCCTCTGGGGAGATGAAGTAAGTTATTCGCCCTTCATCAATGGTGTGATTATTTACTTACTGGTTAGATCGAGTACACTTTGATCAATGTTGATGCAAAAGCATCCAAGGCCACGCTGCTTTTGAGCCAGGAGAATGTTCTGCGCCAATATGAGAAGCGTTGCGCAAAAGAGAACGAGTAAGACCATGAGACACGCCCCCTTCCAAAAGAACGACAAAAATGACTTTTTCACTGGTGGTACTCAGCAAATCCTGGAATGCAGTCTCTTTTCAGCCAGAATGGGGTCGGTACATGATTGAGGCCACTCCCGCGAAGCCATACGGAGGAGAGATTACCGCACTACTGAAGGTGGAAAACAATATGCGGCTACGGCAAGTCATATTCTACGCCTACGTTATCAGGCTCTAATTTGATCGTCTGAGTCTAGGCGAGATCTGATTCGACAGTGTCTACTACCGAATCAACATCCTGTGACTCTTAGTGTCTTGCCTGGTCTGGGTACACGGGGGCTATTCACAGCCTCAGAGCCAGACGAAAGATTCTCAGGAAATGCTCCAGATGGCCGAGTCTACCATCCAAGTACGCGCTACATCATGGCGACAGAGAACCTGGCTACCCGGCGACAAGGACGATTCGAATGCCACATTCCGGTCTTTCGAGACAAATTGACCGAGCAACCGTTCTACGACGAGAACGTGTCGTACGAGTATGCATCGCAGCAGTTGCCACCAGCAGACCCTAAGGAAGGGTACATATATCTCGATTGCCCCGAACTTGGGATGGGATGTTGTTGCATTCAAGTCACAATGCAAACGCCAAATGAGCCTGAAGCTCGATGGCTACACGATCAGCTCATGGTTTTGGGGCCGCTCATGTTGGCATTGACCGCTGCAACACCTATCTACAAAGGCTATTTGGTAGACACAGATACGCGCTGGGGATACATCTCTGCTTCCTTGGATGACCGCACAACAGAGGAGCTGGCCACAATTGTAAGTGAGATTCCTACCATATGCCCATAGAGTTACTCACCGCGGCAGCCACCTCGTTATTCCTGGAATCGTACATATATCTCATCAGAGAAGCCACTAGATGTGGAAAGCAAGACATCCTCGCAACCGATCGACGAAAGACTCAAGCAGAGTCTGCTAGCTGGCGGGATGGATGAGCCTCTGGCTCATCACTTCGCAACCGTTCTTTCTCGTGATCCTATTATTGTGAGTCGGGAAGATATCGAACAATTCGACGCCAGCGATACGGGTCTCTTCGATATGCTCTACAATAGTGTATGGCAACATGTCCGGCTCAAACCCCCATTGTGCAACTCCGGACCCGGCTGGCGAGTTGAATTTCGGCCCATGGAGGTTCAACTGACAGACCATGACAATGCTGCATTTTCCATATTCATATACCTTCTCTCGCGCGCCATCACCGCCTTCCACCTGAGCCTCTACATCCCCATCGACAAATTGAGCGACTCTATGGAGCGAGCCCAGAAGCGCAATGCTGCGCTTGATCAGAAAATCTGGTTTCGTCGTACGGGTTGGTCTGCAGCAAAGCAACAGCCACATACGTGTGAAACATGCACGTCCAACTGCTGCATGAGACAGAAGATAGACACGTTGAGAGACTCGGAAGAGGCTGGCTATGAATCCTCAGCGCAGTACGCTCTGTTATCCATGGATGAAATCGTCAACGGCGAGAACTCGGAGGTTCCATCGGGGTTTCCTGGCTTGATCAACATCGTATGGGCATACCTGCAGTACATGGACACCCCACTGCGAGAGAGAAAGCGACTGAAGCCGTATCTGGATGTGATAAGTAAACGAGCTAGTGGAGAGCTCCCTACCCCGGCGCAGTGGATGAGGTCGGTTGTTATGGCACATCCCGAGTACCGGAGAGATAGTCGGGTTGGGGACAAGATTCGGTTTGATTTACTGCAAGAGATCATAAGCATGGGCGAGTGACTTGTAATTTAGCATGTACTGGAATAGAAATAACTATGTTAGTTGATTTGTGATCGTAAGTGCACCGGGTTCGGATCTGTTGAGACTTAAACTATCCTTATGCCAGAATTCCTATTCTTGTCACATCTGTAAGAGGTTGTGTGAACCAGGACATTAAGTCCACTGGCCTTTTTTGATGTAAACAAAAAGTAATATTATATTTTATGTTTTAGGAACCATCTTGCTCTTTGAATACCATAGATCAAGTCAACCATGTAGTTAAAGTGGCCCTAGAGATAACCTGTTACTATAGGGACAGTGTTTCGAACCGCCTCGAAGTGAGATGAGGCCGATCTCGCATTTGAGAACAAGTGAATAACACCAGGCACACAAATCTCACTTCGCGTGCCAACAACCGTTTTCTTTATTGCGAGTCGGTGTTAGTCTTTCCTCTGTTACCCTTCTCTGATCACCGGTTTTTACCCTCGTTCTCATCTACCTCCCTCGTTCCATCAACCCTAAGCATCATATTGAACCTGTCACGTCGCGTCGCACCGGCTCAAGCTTGATATCACGATCAAGATGCCTCCGATAACAGTCAGCCAGGAAGAGCAGCCCCATGATGAATTCCTCCAAGAACGCTTTGGGAAGTTGTTCGACATCAGCAACGAGGCGCTGGTCGAGCTTGCCCTCAGCGTCCGCAGCAAATACATCACCAACACTCAAGCCACCGCGAAAGTCCTCGAGCACTGGATCGGCACCTACAACCTCATCCACGTCATCGGATTCAGCGACGGACTGAAGTACGTGATCCGCGTGCCTGCAAGCGCCCGCCACGGGCAGATGTCGGAGGCTGCGCAGCGAGCCCTGGTCAGCCAGGCGCGGATGATGCGATTCATCAAGAAACGAACCATGATCCCGATGCCAGACGTGTTCGACTTCGACGCGGGATTCGCCAACCCGCTCAAGACGCCCTACATCGTGCTCAGCTACATCCCCGGCCGCATGGTGGCGGAGGCCTGGTTCGACCGGTCCGGCCCCGTGCAACTCGAGGAGAAACGGCTGCGGATCCTGGACAGTGTGGCCGAGGCGATGGCGCAGCTGCGCGGGTTCCAGTTCGAGCAGATCGGGTCACTCGACGTGGCGGAAGAGCGGCTGGGCCAGCTCAACGCGATGGCGCCCTGCTACGGGTGGGAGGAGAACTACCAGGACGACGGCGGCCACGTCTTCCACGTCCAGCAGTGCGGGCCCTTCTCCTCCTCGACCGCGTACCTGCGCCACCGGCTGCAGCGCGTCACCCAGTGGACGGAGACCCCCAGCGACCGCGGCTGCCGCGTGCTGCTCGACCTGATGATCGACTGCCTGCCGCGCTCGACCCGCCGCCGCAGCGACTCCCACGAGTCCTTCGTGCTCAGCGTCCCCGACCTCAGCGCCAAGAACGTCCTCGTCGACGAGCAGGGCGCCGTGACCGGCTTCGTCGACTGGGACGGCGCCCACACCATGCCGCGCTACCTGGGCTACTCCAGCTTCCCCGGCTGGATCACCACCGACCTCAACCCGCTGCACTTCATCTGGGCCGAGGACTTCGAGGAATCCCCCGAGCTGCTGAAGCAGTACCGGCTGTTGTACAACCGCAAGATGCAGGGCCTGCTGCGGGGCTCCGGCGACGCCAAGTTCGTCCACAAGTCCCATATCTACGAGGCAATGCACCTGGCCGTCTGCACCCTACGCCCTCGCCTGGAGATCGTCACCACCCTCGTCGCCAAGGCGTTCCCCACCAATACGGAGGTGGCCATGAATCTCATCATGCTGGCGGGCGAGGGAAGACTGTCGACGCATGATAAGGATCAGTTGACCAGAGGCTTTCAGCTGTTGTTCGCGGTCTCTTACTGACTTGCTGATATGGTATGCAGGGAATGGAAATATGTTCTATGAAGGTGGCAGCATGTATCCAGCAGGACTTCTGGGTTGGAAGTATCTGACTTCATGTGAAATAGCATGGCTCTCATTAAATCAATGTAATGCAATGTGACACCAACGTGTAGTTTTTGCTTTCTACTAACCGGGGGGTGATATCCCTGTCACTTTTTACGTCGGGAGGCAATTCCCTGTCACGGGTTCGGAATGTAACCCCCTCCTCCCTCAAGTTTCCCCATCGGATATGATGTCAACTTGCAACATTAAACAAACTTCCATCCACTAAATTTTCCAGCATCATCATGCTCATATAGCAATGCTTGCACTAACTATCTTCCTCGCACTGCTGCCTCTTCTGGCTATATACCTGTGGCAATGGCTTCGATATCTGCGATTCCACCAGCATGCCTCCTGGCCGCAGCTTCCACCCTCCCTGGTCTGGGGACACATGAAAGCACTGAACGAGTTCGTCAGACGCGGCGAACGTCGCAGACATGTCGGTATGTCATCTTTTTGACACCTAGTATAACTATCGTACTCGATCTAACAAATGCAGACCATGTATTCGGGGAGGTGCAGCAATACCTGGGCAATCCGCCGCTGTATCTTCTCGACCTCCGTCCGGTCGTCGGCGTCCTGGGGATTGTCTGCAACCATGAGGTCGCTGAGCAGATCTCCCGAAGCACCAAGGGCTTTCCCTATAGTATGCGCAAATCTCCAACCATGAAATCGCTGGAGCCGTTACTGGGGCCCCATTCCGTGATTACCGCGGAGGTTTGTGCGCACCCTTCTCCATGGTAGTTTGTGTGTGTGTGTGTGTGTGTGTGAATCGACCACTGATACAATGTATCCCATGCCTCAGGGCGAGCAGTGGAAAGCGTTGCGCAAGCGATACAATCCGGGCTTTGCGCCGCAGCATCTCCTCACGCTGCTGCCTTGCATCATTGACAAAGCACGAATCTTCATCCAGTGTCTGGATGAGTACGCGCGGACCGGGGAGGAGTTTTCCCTTGAGGACCGCTGCACCAGTTTGACGCTTGATATCATCGGTATTTTTGTCTATTGTGGCATCTCTCCTCTACACAAACGTGAGATGTCTAATTGCCTCGCTTCTAGGAGCCGCAACAATGGACACCGACCTGGACGCCCAGCTCCCCGCCCACCAACAGAGCCCACTTGCCCGCCTCTACCGGCAGCTACTAGCCAGCTACCGCCGCGACAGCAACGTCAGCAAATTTCGCCTCACCTGGCTCCTCGCCCCGTTCATCCTCCTCCGCCGCAAGTATCTCGTCCGACGGATCGACGCCCTCCTGCAAGCCCACATCGAGACGAAGTTCACCGAGCTTCGGACGACTACGACCGACAAAAAATCCTCCTCCTCTTCATCCCGAAGTATCCTCGCCCTCAGCCTCCACGACACCGACCACCTCACCCCACAGATCATCCGCGAAACCGCCGACCAGCTCAAATCCTTCCTGTTTGCCGGCCACGACACCACCAGCATCCTCCTGCAGTGGACCTTCTACGAACTCAGCCGCACCCCGCGTGTGCTGAAAGCGGTCCGTCGCGAGCTCGACGCGCTCTTCGGGGAGGAGACCTCTTCCGCCCCCGCCAGGGTGGCGGAGATGCTGCTCGCCGGGGGGGACGATTATCTGTCGCAGATGACGTATACCGCTGCGGTCATCAAGGAGGTCCTCCGGTTACATCCCCCCTCCGGCTCGGCGCGGTATATGCCCCCTGGGACGGGGTTCACGGTGACCCTCCCCGATGGGCGGACGATGTGTCTCGATGGGGTGGTGATGTACAACTGTGCGACGCTGGTGCAGCGCGACGAGGCGGTTTATGGGCCGACGAGGGAGGAGTTCTGGCCGGAGCGGTGGTTGGAGGGGAGCGCGGACGGTTATGATGGTATCAAAAGTGGTGATGGCGCTTTTCTGGATGATAGTGGGAAGAAGGTTGGGGGTGGTGGTGGTGGTGAGCAGATTCCCGTCAGTGCGTGGCGGCCATTTGAGCGTGGGCCCCGCAACTGCATCGGACAGGGGTTGGTCAATATCGAGGTCCGAGTCATTCTGGCCTGCACTGTGCGGCGATTCGAGTTCGAGAAAGTCGGGCTGGGGGCGCTTGCGAGGGATGCTGGGGGTCGGCCGGTGCTTGATGCAAAGGGGCAGTTTGAAGTTCTGGAGGAATTGTTTAATGTGAGTTGTTCCTGCTTCTTGCTTTTGCTGGTTGGTGGCGATGGGGGTGTGTATGGGATATGTTGGTTAACGCGATGCTCTCTAGACGATGCAGGTTACTGCTAAACCGGTGGATGGGACGAGGATGAAGGTCAGGTTTGCATCTGGGGAGTAAGGATGATGTTGTTGGGAAGTAGTTCTCCGATGGAAATATAGCACGAGGGATGATTTACACCCAGTTCGATATATTTGAAGACTGAATGTAGAACTCATGCCGTAATGGACGGGGGCAACGTGACAGTCCCGCTTGCACGGCACTGAAAGCTGGTCGGCAACACCCCTGGTCTGATCCCTGGCCATATAGCAGATAGCGGACAGCAAGAGGTGATCATCCAGCCGATATTATGATGACCCTGTGCATCGCAGAATTAAACCACAATCTCAGATTGGCCAAGGAGGCTGAACTCAATCAGAGAGGGACACTCAACCAAATAATGCACCACAGCTAGAGTGAAGGCTGTCCCCGAGGACCCAGCCTAGTCTAGAGTGCAATCACAGTTCCCAGGTTTCTAGATCTATGGACTAGAGCTTCATGGCTTCAAGAATCCCATCGCCACCCTCATCGACCAGATCCCGAAACTCCACCACCCATGAGACCAGCACTCTCCAGAAGCGTATGCCACTGCAGTCGAGTCCGTTCCGTCCCTGGACTAAAAGCCATGATGGCCAAATCGAACTGCGCCGGGGACTGCAACGCTACTTCCTCGAGAACGATAACCTCCATGCAGAAGCAGCCTCGAGTACCCCGGCGTCATATCCGCCGCCACCTTCTCCAGGATCCACACAGAGGTGGTGAATCTCTCAGCAGATTGCTGTCAGATTAGCACATCACCCGGTCGAAAATAGGGGCGGTGCTCATGAGCAACCCCATTGCAGGCGCTATCCTGAGCGGACGAGGCGGTTGGGTTGGACTCGTTGCCTGGTGCGGTGCATTGCTTGCCATTTCGTCGGTAGCCATGGCTGTGTGTCCCTGAGCCGGCTTGGGACTCGATCGCTCCTTGTGAGAGCCAGACTACAGAGCCCCCCAATACCTCAAGAGACATGCTAATTATCCAGTGAGGACTTGGATTGAACATGGTTCCAATTTCAATATTCTCCAAGCAGGTGGAATATCGGGCCAAATGCAAAGTGGGTCTGCACGGTAAGTAACCCGACAGCTTCACATCGAATACAGCATTCTCAATCCTAACGACCTCGCACTATAATTAGGACATCTAAGACCTTGAAGCAATTACATCACTGTACTGCTGGCCTGCGTGGCCCATCCGCTTACCGACAGGTCGATTTTGCTGCCTTGCCGATAGATTTTCCCCCAATTTCTCCCAGCCACCTTTATTTTATACTACGCCTGCCGAAATCCTTTATCGCTGATAAGGATCGCGGTTGTACGGAGGTATGCACGCCTGTCACTCCCAGTCATTGATTGATCTTTTCCTCTAAGGCATTGTGGCTGACATCCCCAGTCACTCTGGTCGCAATCTTAACTCCCATGTTGTTCGCACCCCTCCTGGCCTACGTCGTATGGCCATCCTTTGCCGAATTCGTCACCGCAAATGTATCGACGTCCGACATCACGCAATCCGATCAGATCATACAGCGCAATGCTCTCATTGAGTCATACCTTGGCCATCGGCCCATACGGGGGGTCAGGAAGATGAGCGACGATGAGGGCGAAAAGTTCTTCATGGATTATTGGCAATTTGATGACGACGACGACGAGAACTATTATACGATCGGCAACTCGTCCAACACCGCCGATGAGTTGACGTCGCCAGCAAGACGTTCTGAGAATCTACAAACGACGGAGGAAATCGACTTTCAACCACAGACATACCCCTTCAACCCCTCGTACTGGAGTGGTTTGGAAGGCGAGGGGCGCGGTTGGAGGGCGGATTTCTCACCGCTTCTTCGGCGGGACTTCCGTTGTCCGAGCGGCACCTCCAACTGCACATCGATCGACCGGCCCGACAGCTGCTGCAGTACGGATGATACGTGCGTCCTGGTCAAGGACACCGGGTCCGGGGACGTGGGCTGTTGTCCGAAGGGCAAGACCTGCTCGGGCACCATCGGCTCATGTTCCGAGGGGTACTCCAGCTGCCCGTCATCCATGGGCGGCGGATGCTGCATTCCAGGCTATGAGTGCGTTACTGGTGGCTGTAAGTGGACTCTGATGATAAGCTTCCCCCCGCTGCAGGACTTATGCTGATCTCGGGCGTAGGTATACGGGTCTTTACCGTCACGGTGACCGTGAGCTCGACCGTTATGCTGTCTACCTCCACACAGACAGTCGCGACTACCAACACGCTATCCACGGGGGATCTGATTCCTCCCGCACGGCCTACGAGTGTGTCCACGGCCACGAGCTCCAGCACCAGCAAGACTACCAGCACCGCCACTGTGTCAGTCTGTCCGACGGGTTTTTATGCCTGTTCGGCATATTACCAGGGTGGGTGCTGCCGGACGGGTCGCGATTGCGACACCACATCTTGTCCGGCGACGCCCTCGACGACTATCGCTAGTGATGGAGTCACTATTGTGGTCCCGGTGATCACTGCGACGGGAACCGCCACAGCGGCAACCAGCAGCAGCAGCAGCAGCAGCAGTATGGGCCGATGCGCGAGTGGGTGGTTCAGTTGCGCCGATACAGTTGGGGGTGGTTGCTGCCCGACGGGATACCGGTGCGGCTCCAGCTGTACGGCAGTCTCGACGGCCACGGAGACTGTCTCGAAGGAGCAACCGACGAGTGGAAGTCAAAAGAGAGGGGTGTCAAGAGGGATGGCAGGAGTGAGCATCGTAGTTGCAGTAACTCTGACAGTTCTAAGCATGAGCTGATAGCCTTTTAAGTTAGTTATAACGAAAGATATGAGATCACGGACGGTTAAATGAAAGCCCAAGCCGACAGGCAATGCGGAAAAATGTAAAAGTAATCGATGGCTCACGGATAAGCGATTCAGCTTTGACAGGCAAAAAAGCCCCGTGGGGCTTTGGAGCACGTGGGGCGTGTTGCTTTACCGGATCGGGAGCAATCCCGGTGAAGAGAGAGTCAAGACTCAAGAGACCCTCCGACCCTCTCCGATGCCGCCGCCGCCTTCAGGTTGACTCCTCCTCCTCCTCCTTCTCCTCCTTCTCCTCTTTCAACTTGGCCCGCTCCACTCCAACCCCATTTGCTTCTTTTCGCTTTTTCTTCCTCTTGCATTTCCATTTCGTTCTTAAGTTTTGTCATTGCATTTTTCTCTTCCTCCCTTCAATTGTGTTTTTTTTTTACCAATCAGTCATCAAAATGGCCAGCCAAAACCAACAGAAGCCCCTGCCCTTCCAGTACCAGTTCATTGCTGGTGCCGTGGCTGGTGTGTCCGAGGTACGCATCGCGTGATCCCCATCAATTGACTCTGAACAACGTGGAAGCTAATATTGATGGGGTAGATTCTGGTCATGTACGATGCAATCGTAATCTCTCCAATGTTTGCAATGACTAACAAGCATTAACCCCAGGTACCCACTTGACGTGGTCAAGACCCGAGTGTAAGCTTCCCAAGCACCAAGCACCTTTTCCGACTCCCTGCCATCCACCCCACAAACAAACACCCTTGGACTAACACACCATTACCGCTCTGATAGTCAACTTCAGACCGGTGCCGCCACCGCGGGACAAGACCACTACAATGGCATGTTCGACTGCCTGCGCAAGATCGTGAAGAACGAAGGGTAAACAACCTCCTCCTTCCTCCTCCGTCCGAAACCCCAACACCACACCACACCACACCACACCACACCACAAACCCGAGGCCCACAAACTAACACCTCCCCCTTCAATCGCACCAGCTTCTCCCGCCTGTACCGCGGAATCTCCGCCCCGATCCTGATGGAAGCGCCCAAGCGCGCAACCAAATTCGCCGCCAACGACAGCTGGGGCAGCTTCTACCGGAACCTGTTCGGCGCGGCGGAGCAGACGCAGTCTCTCGCCATCCTGACGGGCGCCACTGCAGGTGCGACGGAGTCGTTCGTGGTCGTGCCCTTCGAGCTGGTCAAGATCCGGCTGCAGGACCGCGCGTCGGCCGGCAAGTACAACGGGATGCTGGACGTGGTGCGCAAGATCGTCGCGGCCGAGGGCCCCCTGGCCCTGTACAACGGCCTCGAGTCCACCCTGTGGCGCCACATCCTCTGGAACTCCGGCTACTTCGGCTGCATCTTCCAGGTGCGCGCGCAGCTCCCCGCCGCCGAGCCCGGCAACAAGGCCCAGCAGACCCGCAACGACCTCATCGCCGGTACCGTCGGCGGTACCGCGGGTACCATCCTCAACACCCCCATGGACGTCGTCAAGAGCCGCATCCAGAACACCGACAAGATCCCCGGCCAGGTCCCCAAGTACAACTGGGCCTGGCCCGCCGTCGGCACCGTCATGAAGGAGGAAGGCTTCGGCGCCCTGTACAAGGGCTTCATCCCCAAGGTCCTGCGGCTGGGCCCCGGCGGTGGTATCCTGTTGGTCGTGTTCACCGGCGTGATGGATTTCTTCCGCAAGATGCGCGATGAGTAGATTCCTTTCTGGCTTTCGGTTGTTTTTACTTTTTTTTTTATGATCATCATGATAGAAGAGGGCGGAAGAGAGAGAGAGAGGGGGGGGGGAGAAGCAAAAGAGCAAGGATAGAAAAGAGATATCCGACTTGTCTTATCTTGTCGCAATAGATTCATCCTCTATTGTCGTCGTTGTCGTCGTTGTCGTCGTTGTCGTTGTTATGAATAACCTTTCTTGTATTTGCATGCAGAAGACGATCATCCGTTTGATGTGATACCAAATCAGGAAGCCAGCCATTTGTAAAGATGCTATTCAACAGTACACCGTATCCTACATGACTCCCTTTCCATGACCTACCCCTAGAAAATAAATGAAATACTCATAGATGGTCACCCAAAGATCAACTCGGTGGGTAGACAGACCATTTACCCGCTACATCACGGATACAAACGGTACATACCTCCCTCCCATCGACGCTACGACCTTTTAGGACGCGGCGGCGGCGGCGTCAATTGCTGGCAGTAAGGCTGGGGGTGGAGGAACCGCACGCACGTGCAAGGATGTCCCCCCCCTCTCCATCCCCCCTCTCGTCCATTCACAGCACCCAGGGTCCTACAGTAGTTCGTCCACATTGGACAGGATCCTAGTTCGGATCCATCACCCACCTTAGTACAGTACTGCACCTAGTACCTACCAGGTGGGCTGAGGGCCGCCACTCCCCTTCTAGTATGTGCATACCCTGTGCATCTGCCCTATGATGACAATGTACTCTACCTACCATCCACCTCGAGGGGTCGAGGCCGACCGTCGATCATTACAAGCTTACTGGCTTACCGGCTAGGTATCAATCGAGTCAAGTATTGAATGCAAATATCGTTATATAAATGACTTATATTATGAAGGTCGAAACAATCAGCCGTTAATGACGCCCGAGAATGGGTTTCCATGCGTTAACACACAACAATAAAGCAAGATTGTCAAGGCATATCAAGCGTATAATTAAAAAGGGAAAAGGGTATCGATGTAAAAACGGGCAAGGAGAGAAAGAGAGCCAAAGGAACAACATATATGTCAAGGTAAAAATCAAAATCCGATGACAGTCGCCATTAAGGAGAGCAAAGTCCAAAGCCATAACAAACAAACTCGCAGAAACGACATCAATCAAACGTCACCCAAGAATGCGAACTGAAGACAGAAGAGAACAAGGAATCAAAGCACACCCTTGAGAACCAATGACAATAAAGGTCATTTCAGCCATTAGCCTCGACGAAATCTGTCAAAACTTCCGCGTACGCCGGTCACCCATTTGACGCCTTTGTGTACAACAAGGTCATGACATGCAGTTGTTCAAGATATGAAAGGCAGAGCTCATCCGGAGCGTGAACAAGATTTAGTTCATCTCCATTGCGTATTCGTCTTCTTCCTTGAAGCTCATGCCAGCATGGCCCGAGCTATTCCAATACTGGGCTTGTCCAGAGCCCCCGCCATTGCTGCTGCCGCCACTGTTGAAAGGTGGGCTCAGACTCTGTGGGCTCAATGTTCCGTTGCCGCTGACAGAATCCCCAGCAATGTTGGTGTGCTTGGGCACCCGGAGACCGCTGCCTGGCGCTCTGCTGTAGGCAAAGGAGCTAGGATCATTCTTCTCTAGCGCATCGAGAATCTCGGTGCGCATACGCTTTTCCTCCTCGGTCTGCTCAAACGGCCAAGTGCCACCCAGCCTGCTGATCAATTCTGCCAGCTCTGACTCCTGTTGGAGCTTGACGTGCAGGGCCCACATCAAGTCCCGCATCCAACCGACTGCTCCGTTGAGGATATCTCCCTTGTTGGGCCCTTTCTCTTTTTCCTCGATTGGGAGACCCATGGTGATGTTACCAGCAGTGGCGCGGCGCCCATTGCCTCCAGCGAGCAGGGATGTTGCAGCATTCGCGGTAGCTCCGGTACCAGACATGGCAGTATTGTTGACAAGCTGCTTACGAACCTTGTCATCCTCCAAGCGGTGCTGGGGTACCAAATGGGAAAGATCCTGAATGCGTTCATTGATGTTGTCTCGCCGCCGGCGTTCGACGAGATTATGAGAGGCTCTGCGACGGCGCCGCTTCGCCTCTTGCGATTCTAAGTCCTGTGCGGACCCTGGCATATGCGTATCAACCTTGGCCGGCAAGGAAGCATGCTTGCCCGATTTGAGGATTTCCGAAATCCCCGCATGATGAGATGGATGGCCAGGAGATGAGATGGGTGACTCCACATACGAATGCGCACTCCCGGGCGTACCATCCCACTGGTTGGATAGCGTCTTCTGGTGCCGATGCTGAAGGCCAGTCCGAATGGGCTGAGTAGGGAAGCTCCCGGACTCCGGCGTCCCAAGGGTCAAAGCGCCGAGCGCTGGGGTCTTGGGGGTCATCGGGCTGCGTCCGTCGTACGAGGCCCGGTCGAGCGCTTGTATGCTTGGCCGAGCCTTGGCATTCAGATAGCTCTGGTCAAAATGGGATCCGTTGCCCTGGAGGTGAGGCGCTTGTCCTGGCTGGCCCATGCTCCGGAAGTGGTCATAATTGAAACTATGCATGAAGGGGCTGTGCATGGGAGCTCCATCTGGCGTGTAGGAGTACATCTGTGACATTTGGCCCGGGTGACTCATCGAGATCCCAGCGCTTGACTGTTGGTCCTGGAGATAGTTCTGCTGGACTCCATTGTGGCCGTTAATCTCCAGATCCAGGAGCTCATCGGTATCGATCCCAGAGTTACCGAAATTGAAACTGGAGGAAAGGTTCTGTTGCGAGGAGAACGGGTATGACATGAAGCCGTTCTGCATGCTCAACTCCGAGGGGTCAACCCCTTCATTAGGGTTCCCGAATTGGTTTGACATCGAATAGCCGGACTGCGACATTATATAATGGTGTGGGTCACTGCTGTGCTCGTCAGGCTCAGTCTTGATGAAATTGCTAGTTTCCGTCATCTCCCCGCGCATGCGCCCCAGCCTTCCAATCCAAGTCAATAGTGTTATCGGAGGGTGATCTTACGGTTCAAAGGCGAACCTGGTAGAGATGATAACTTGATGCTCGCCAAACACAAATTGTCAAAAGATAAACTTGATCTCCGGTGGTGGAATAAAATCGTCCTATCGGCAGGGCGAATGATTCAGACGGTGTTGGATAGTCAACGGACGGTGACGTCGATTCATCAAAGGGATTCGACCGAGCAAAATTAGCCGGAGAAGATCTAATGATCTAATAAGACTCCAAGGTTCCGTCAGCCTGGTTCTTAAACAAGGAGAGATGCGTGTGGCAATGAACCGCCCTATGAGTCGAGTCGGAGAACGCCAACGGGGGTGGCTCAGACCTCGACTACAAGTATGGGGGACACTTACCAAGCAAACGAGAAATTCAGTCTAGTAACGAAAGCCAAGCCTGGCGATGCCTCCTAGATGGATGGAGAATGCGATTGGTTTATGGCGTCCGAACGGAACGGGGGTAACGCGAGGGGTTGTCGCGATGAACTGTAAGCGGGCGCGGTGGACAGAGTGCCGGGCGAAAGCAGGATTTGGGGGAGGTGGACAGGACGGAAAAATGCCACTATCGTGGACGGAGGCCAGAAAAGTCCGAGGTATTTGTGCTGTCACTCGTCGAGCGCGCCGAAAGAAGAATGTCTAATAAGGTTGGCCTGGGGTAAGTGACTGGGGAAGAAAGTCAAGAGAGGAGCTGAAATAAGCCAGAAAAAGAAAAGAGGACAGGACGGCGGCGATCAAAGGAAAAGGCTCCGTCGTTGAGTGGCCATAAGCGAGGCAAAGAAAAAAAAATAAATAAAATAAAGGAGACGGAGAGAAAGGCGGGCAAGAGACAAGAATAGATGGACGGGGCCGCGGAGGCGACGGACTGAACCAAAATGGGGAGGGGGAGGGAGGGACGAGGGACGAGAGGGGAGGGAAGGGGGAGGGGGGGGGGAAGGGAGGAAGAAGGTCCAAGGCCAGGCAATAAAGTGATAAGAGTGAGGTGGGAAATAGAGGTGTCAGATCAGACCGGAAGTAGCCTTGTAATCTCTGTGGGAAAGGTTGAGAGTAGAATCGCCACCAAAGAAGAGAAGTGAGATATTGTGTTGCTTCAATTAATCGGGATTGATTGATGAGAGCGAAAGGGAAAGGAGGAAGGAGGAAGGAAGGAGGGGAAAGAATTGGGAATTTGAGGCGGTACTTGGTCCGGGGTAAGGCCAAGGGAAGAGCGTAGTCCGAAAGTGGGCTGTGGAGGGGAGAGAGAGAGCCTGGAGACCGAGAGAGACTCTTGTAAAATTGTAAGAGTTGGTTCCATCCAAGTTGTGTTAGTTGTTGCCAGCCAGGTAAAACTGGCTGGATTGAGACACAATCAATAGGCGCAAAGAGCGCCAGAGGCGGTGGACCACGCCCCACTTCATTAGGAGGGCGGTAAATCTCGGCAGTATGTCACCTGCCTCGCGCTCTCTCTCTCTCTCTCTCTCTCTCTCTCTCTTTCTCTGTCGTCTCTTGTCATCCCCAGATTCTCGGATAACTCCGTTGTGGATCATCTGGATGGTCCATTCCCACCTCCATGAATCTGGCCATGGTTACCATGCAGCTGATGGCACTGATACCAAATTCCAAAGCATTTTGAAAGCATTCTCTTTGCCGTCACTTCTTTCCCCCTCCTTAGCCCCTCAGCTCTGTCCTCATTACCCCTCGATATGTAATCCCCGCGCTTCACGCGAGACGGACAGATCTTCCCGTTTCGGGGTCCGTGAGACAAAACTAGGACGGCTCGGTGATCCTACACAGTAAGAGCGCCCCACGGACACTGTCGGACCACGTTGGATCGTCGCATAGGCGCCTTATTGTTCTCCCAATAATCCATCCGGGTTTGATGGACATTGGGCTTCCGCCTAGAGAATCTGCAGGGGCTGAGAGGCCATCACACCTGCATGCTTCTCTTCCTTCGGTCTTTCCCCGGGCTCCAAGCCGGTGACGTAACTGATGGGTGATGCTCTCCGGCCGAGGGGCCTCTTTTGCCGATGTAGGTCTTGGCTCGAGTGGCCGCTCTCTTCCGCAGTCATAATGGTCCTGGGGTGTGCATGTGTGTGTGTGTGTGTGTGTGCGCGCTTGGGCCATGATAGAAAATAAAGAGAGAGATGATATTCGCCAAAGGAAACATAGGAAACAGAAATCAGGACAGAAGAAAAAATGTGTCATGCTTACCAGATATTGATGAAAAGGTAATAGATAGGCGAGATATAGCTAGGTAATTTGCTCGTAGACGTCCTGGGCGATGATAAGTACTGGCATTAAAGATGTATCCGAGGACACAGGTTTGATGGCGGCGTCAAGAAGTCAAAAGGATGGAAAGGCAATCAGACAGAGGGAAACAGATGCGCACACGTGGAGAGTAGGATTGAGCCGCATATGCTCCACCAACAAGGCCAGGCAGAAGGGGGAAAGCAAAAGGCTTGGAAGACAACACAGTGTTGAACAGCCAGCCTTATCACATCGGCGGAAGGGGAGTTTATATGCACGAGTATTGGGGCTTTGAGGGTTGGGGGGGAAAGCAAGATACCTAAGGCTGCGAACACTTACATAGACCCTGCTTAATGCCGACAGTCGACACAGTGAGGGGTTCGTGCTCAGCAACAGAGCAAAGATTGGGACCAGTGGGAAAAGAAAGATGGCTATAAAATCAGGGTCGTATCAGCTCCGCAACAGCTGGGCAATGCAGCGACTCGAGAAGGGAAATCCTAGCGTTATCGGCCAGGAACACAATGAGACAATGGCGAAGGGAGAAAAAGTAAGTTGGGAGAAGGGTATACTTTATAGGTACAGTACAAGAACTGGAATTCCCAAGACCTAGGGCTGGCAGTGCAGAGGACAAGACGAATATAAAGGAGATTCACGACAATATTCACATCCTCTCATTTGCTATATCATGGTTCAGGTCATGCAGGGCGTCGATCCTCAACTCAGCGAGGCTTAACACACCACCCATAGGAATTACTTGCGTAAACCGGTTCTTCAGCCAGATAGAATGTCGCTAAAATGATTCGGGGAAAGTGAAGGGAGAATCAAAAATCAAAATATGAAGGGTATTAATTCCTCTCCGGTGACAAGAGTAAGTAGGTAAAAGAAAAAAACACAAACATAATAATAAAATGAAATAAAATCAAATAAAATAGCACTGCATAAACTAAAACGCAGGCCAAAGGATGGAGGGGGGGAAAGGCCAGGGAGAGGGCGAGAGCCAATCACGATGCAGCAGCCGGTAGGCAAGACGAAGGATACGCTACCCAAATCGCAAGATGCAGGACATTTAAGCCCGTCAATCAGACCAATGCGAGAGGTAAGAAGGGGGATGATGGTCGTGGTTGGAGAATCCGACTGGAAAAGGGAGGGAGGGGAGGAAGCCTGGAGGGGGTGCAGTATAGAAAAGACAGTCAATTGTCAAGGAGGGTAGCACCGTCCGCATAGAGGAGAATAACGTCCATCCCCGAATCCCATGAGCATCTCCCGAGTACTACTATATTTGTCACCTGTTCCGCCTCTGCCAGGGAAGTTCAATGACTCACCCGCGTCAGCCTCTGCTTGACGATTACTCAGTTACTAAGTCTGCCATCCTCTTCCTTCTTATTGGGGAGTTGGCAGGTTATTCTCATTCACTCGTATCTGCCCGTTATTCGCCTAAAAGCGGAAAAGAGGTGATGATGAAGATGAAGGTGCGCAATGGGGACAGGGCACAATTGCTTATCAATATCCGTCGGGACAACTCCCGACGCTTAGGGAAGGAAAAGTCGTCTTCGATACGAGGGCAAAGTCCACTAAGAATGTATCAGATGCCAGAACCACCACCCATCATCTTCCCCCTCCCCCTCCCCCTCCCCCTCCTTCTGCTCTAAGCATACCGGATCATGTACACATATAGACGGAAAGACTAAATGACCAAGGAGCGTGAGTACTCATGAATACGCTATTTCACTTGGAGATCAAGACCTATGACATCATGATTCAACTGAGCAAGAAATGGTTCATCGTCCTTGAGTAGCAATCCCCTTGGAATTAATAGAGAAACGAGCTTGGGGACAGACGGTGGCATATCGCGGGTATCGAGGAATGGATGAATGATCTGAAGCTTCCATGTGGAAGAAAGGATCCGTGGCTTAATCCAGCAATTCTTCTCCAGCTTTGTTAGCTGCCTGTAACCGGCGAACACTTTATCATTTCGGAGGATCGCTGGACACTGGCGGGATCGACGAGCTGGAGAAACCATGCCGCATTATCATGATTAGTATTGATCGCATCTTACCTCCATTGCAGGCTGCATTAGACCCGAATAGGGAACATGATTGTCTCGGTACCAGAGCCTCATCCTTCTACAGTGATAGTTGATTGTAGCCCTACTGCTTGCCAACACACGGTCATAGGCTACCTGAGCCACGGACCACTCTGTAGAAGGAGTTGGAGTCGAGTGGATTGCGATGACTTGCTTCCTTGGAAACCCATTGCCTTCTCCCATCGCCTGTCCGAGCACGTCGGGGGCTGACACAGAGAGGCGGTCCGTGACACTGTGCAGCCAGCAGCCTGTAGCTTCCCGAGAAGGCGTGCATCTGCCTATGCCATCTGATAGGGTGTGGTAGGATCCTTAGTTCTGCAACTCCCTGCTCGCTTGGGCATTTGACATTCTAATGAAGTCTAACGCATGGACTTTTATACTAATTTGGCGCCGTTGATGGACGGAATTAGTTTTCCCCTTCCCCCCTTCCCCACCCTCTCTCATCGTTCTTTATGCAACAACCACCACCACCACCCCGGGTATTCATATGTACCCCCCCAAAACCCTCTCAATCATCCGACTTCGCTTTTCCAACGGAATTCAAGACATAGATGGCTCATTTTTGCTGCGATCCTTGCCCTTTAGGATGCTGTTACAATTTGGAATACGGGTGACTCCCTCAGGAATGTGGAGGAGCCCTCAACTATCTATCTTGTGTATACTATCCGGGCATCCATAGCGAGTGCTAAAAACAGACAATAGTCGATCCGAGTTTGGAATGCTGTCAGTTCCCTGGGTCGCCAATCAACTCTGGAGATCAGATTAATCAACGGTCCTGCCTGGCCGCAAACAGCCAGCCCGGTAGCTTTGGTGCATCTCAGCTCTTTATCTAGGTCCACCTTGCAGTGCTATTGCAGACCAGACCGGCTGGTATGCCACAGTCCTGCCTATTTTTCAGAGGTACAGCCGACAGGCGCGAATTACGTCAATTCCTGTATCAGCTGTTATGCTTTCTCCCCTCATGACGGGGTGGAACGCGGTATGTATGTCCGTATGTCTGTATGTCTGTACGGTACATCACCCGTCCTTCCACACAACGATAAGACAATCGTACATGCATCTCACGGTGAATGAGAGACGTGATGACTTGCACCAGACCCCAGTGACTTTAACTGTCTCGAGATTGCGTCTGCGACCAGAAATCGGAAAAAGGTGTGGTCTTTGGGGAGGGCAGAAAATGAGTCAAGAGCATTGGCTCCCGCAATTCGCGCCCGCCCCGGCCCGTCAAGGTTCGGAGTGCGTGGCCGATATCCACGGTTACTGCAAGGAGTTTGGCTACACAACATACACTCAATCTCAGAATCAGCACCATAGCACACAAGCCAACTTGAAACTTGGTGGATTGAAAAGCGTCCTTGACTACTCGGTCACCGCGAGTACGGGTACAGGGGACTAGTGACTAGCTGCCTGGCTGAAACGCGCAGGTGACAGCCCGCTATCTGGTACTCGGGTTGAGTGATCGTTATAGCCGATGATGTGCAATCCGGCCGGGAAAGAGGATCGTCGCATCTGCCTAGCAGATGGTGGCAACGAAGCTGGGATAGCAGGCAGCTTCTGTGACTCAAACCCAAACTCAAACGCACTCTAGTCCATAAGCTGGATTTGAGTCTGAGATTGGAAATAGTTACTGTCGGGCTTGATGATCTGGATGATGGCTATCAACGAACAGTGATAGGTGGGTACGACTGAAGTGTCTTGTCACTGTTATCTACAGTACTCTAATTTTCCGACTGAGAAGCAGAGGCTACCATCTATGTGTATGTAGTGGGTGCCCTGCTGAAGCTGCCTGATGCAACCCAACAGTTGACTCCAACATGGACAATCGGCTCTTTTCCGGTAAAATAGGCACATAGCCAATGGCTTGGTAGGCTGCTGCAATCAACGGAAGCTCCACCCGAGATCGACTGGGACTACTACTCAGTACATGTATGTTGATCGCCAATGACCTTGATTATGATCGATTCGACAGTTGAAAAGAATTTGGCAATGCGGCTAATGGCTCCGATCAGGCTTTTTGCCTTGGATCGAGGAAGTTACTACTCGGCTGGTGGCTGACACTGATGCAAGCGAGGTAAGGTAGACGATAGGGCATCTTACCATTTAACTACCGCAACAAGTAGATTGCCTTGTGTCTATGCCATGGTCAGTTCTAGCCTTCGAATCCACTAAATGTATGAAGGACGTCAACATTATTCACGGATCTGCCGTGGTCAATACTATAAGTACTATGTACCTAGTATTAATGCGCTTGTACTCAATACAGTACGTACTGAGTCGGTATGAGTAGGTATGAGTAGAAAGTAATGCGAACGGTCAGCCAGCGGGAACAGCGCCAGACCCGCGGGGATCACCTCCACTGCACCTCCTCCCCCCTCCCCATGTAATGGGCGGTGTGGCCCGCTGCTCCAGTCTCAGAGCTTGGGGGCTTGAGATTCAGTGGGTGACCAATCAAATGTATTCAGACCGAGCAGCAATGTTCAGGTCTCAGTTAGTAGACCTCGTCTGAATCCATTCCACCAGCAGAAAGTTTGGGTTTAGTCGAGTCACCGCCTGACATTACTGCCCCCTGCCCGGTCCTCTGATTGGCAAGCGGGGCTATCGGGGCTAACCAGCCGTTCCACCTGGAAGGAAGTCCAACACTTAACCTTGTTGAACCTGGAAACTGCTGCCTCCATTCCACACTTCATTCACTGTGATCGTGGATGATAACTGGCGAGTTTCCTCAAGTCCTGAACAATCCAGACTGTATCAGATCGAACTCAATATCTTACCAACGACAATAGCAGCAGCAACAGCAATAAGTGAGTATTCCCTGTTATGACCTTATCCCCGAAATAGCAACTAGCCAGCTGCTCATCCACACCACCATCATCACCACCACCACCACACACCATTACCACTACCACTACTACTACAACTACTACCACCACCACTAACTCACTACCTCCTCACCCTCAAACACACTTTCACCATTCCCCCCCTCCTCTCCCCTCCCCTCCCCTCCCTTCTCCTTTCCCCCCCTCCCACCCACACCCACCCCCTCTTCTTCTGTCGGGCAAGTCATCTGACGACTGGCTAATATTGCAACCTGTATAGAGCTGATCTCTGTTGCTCTCGACAAAAATAGGGTGGCCCTAGCGTTACGTTCCTTCACCACCATCTATTCTTCCTCCCCCCCCCCCCCGGCATCGTCATCGCCCTCATCATCTTGCAGCTCCTATTCCTCCCCCCACCTCCCCCTTTCCCTGTCATTCTCCGGTCTGCGCAGCTCTCCACTTTGCTATACTAGCTTTCATCCCGACCTTCACATTCTTTGCGCTGAGGTTGGAGGTTAATCGCCATTCCGGATCGGTGGATAGGTCTTGGGCCATACAAGTGTTACATCAGCTTCCTCGGAGATATCGTACTGTTTCAGTCCACTCGACTGTCGAGCTCTAGAGTCACACCTTTGCGGTTTTCAGCTACAGAGCCGGCTGCTTCAGACAGATAGCTCGCCCCCCCCTTTCCTCCCCTTCAGTCTTCCACACAGTACCCTATACATACCGATCTGGAAGGAGTCACAGGCTTATCAGCTTCACTTTGCTCGACGTACGACTAAGCCACTTTGACTCGAGTAGCAGACACTAGGTTTGCCCCGTGCCCAAGCTCCTCGGGAGGCTAGTCCGGTTGCGCGACAGTCATCTGGCCCGCTCAGGTCTCGTCCTATCACTGCCGCACTCGTTTTTCTTGCGTGCAGCTGCTGTGTCTTGTCCCCCTCCTCCAGTGATATTCGCAGATCATCTGCACGCGCATATTGGTTTCCGTCCTGCATAGTCCCTGCAGAGGTCTCCTCGCCTTGATACCGCAATATTGCGCTTCCAGTGGTCGGCCCCGTCTTTTACGCTTCCGCAATAGCAGCAGTATCGGCATCCGAGCTTGCCTCCTCCTTTCCGTTGTCGCAGCCCACCTTCCCTCCCACCTAGGTCAATCCACAGGTTAGTGGCGAAGCAAATCGTGACCATGACCACGACTTCCTTCCGTGATTCCGTGAACTCATTGGGTTGGTCTCGGAGAGATCCAGATCTACCGGCGCGCACCAACTCGTCAAATGCTCCTTTCCTATCACGGTTGCAGTCTTGGAATCCATTTGGGCAAGGGGAGGGCTATCTGCAGCTGCCCACCCATGAAGCTCCAGGAGCTCCTCTGCCAGCCCCGACTCGACGGGAAGAAGAAGATAGTTTCTTTGCTTGTGAGTAGTCCTCCTAGCGCATGATCTGATTATTCCGACATACTGCCCGTTTCCTTGATTTCCCGCACTGGCTGGTCCAGGTGACAGAGACTCAGTTCCTGCATCGCATCGGAGTTTCACCCAGGCCCTAGTAACGGGCGATACTAATGTCTTCTATTTGGATGTTCCATTCTGTTATATCCCCGTCATTTGAGTTTCGGTCAGGGCTAATCATGCATCCCGTTCTAGTAAGCCGATGGGACCGGATGCTCATTTTCATTGCGTGCAACCTGGGTGCTGCCGTCTGCTTCCTTATTTGCTTTTTCCTCTTTCCAGTCCTGTCGCTCAAACCCCGCAAATTTGCCATCTTGTAAGTTGCTTGTCCCTTATCCCGAATGATCTTCTGGAACCTCGACACATCTGGAGAATTTGAGGTGGTGGTGTGCTCTTCCTGCCCTTGCTGGAGAGCATGCACGACCAAGCCACATTCCAGCTTCCGTGCTACACTCTATTGCAACTCAATACTTCATGCGCCAAGGCTGGTGTGAATGAGAGACTGTGGCTGACCCAACCGGTTTTTGCTTGGGAATTAGATGGTCCGTCGGTTCTTTGCTATTCTTACTATCATGGGCAGTCCTCATGGGACCTATGGTCTATGCCAGGCATTTGGTCTCGGGATCACGACTGCCATTCACGGCCGCCTATTTCGGTTCGATCGCCATGACCCTCTACTTTGCCATTGGGGTAAGTTTCCATGCCTCCTCTAAGTTTCGACTGTGGTGCCAAGATTCATCCCTGTTGCTCCCGTGTCGAGTATGCCTGCGCTATCAGCGCCAGCTGCTCAGCGATTTCAGTAGCTACTGCTGGAGGATCTTGCATGTCGCCTGGGGTGCACCGTGCATAATGCTCGAGGTCTCTTCCAACAAGGATTCATGACATCATGATGCATTGAATTGCCGGGGCGTTCAAAGTGATCTTTTACCGCACACCTCCAGCAGTGCTGCTTTCTCTTGGGGAATGCACGTGCACATGCACGTGCAGGTGCAAAGACTCCAGATTGGGATAGGAATAACGGCTAACATGCTTTCACGGTCTCACAGCTCCATTCCACCTTGTTGACCCTGATCTCGTCGATCTTCCAGCTCACCGCTCTGCTTTGGTATCTTGTCAGCTATTTCCCAATGGGTAGCACCGGTTTGCAATTCATGGGACGATTTGGCGCGCAGCGTGTCACGGCATGGATGACCAGCTGATGACCTTTGCCCCTTTCTGTATAGAGTAACGACGCGACGTTTGTCTTTTTGTGGTCTGCTGTAGACACCTTCTTGTATATTACCGCATCTTGGCGCGAACATGAGCATGTTGGGAGCATGGTTGATCGACTAATGGTGGAGTTTGATAAATGGCTCCTGACGATTGTATATCACGACTACTACCTAGTATCAACCAGACTACATTGTTTAGTATGACCAATCAACCAAACCTGTAAGATGATACAAGCGCCAACTTCGCACCAAGCTCTTCTTTCTTTTCTACCAATCCATCTTCTCTTACTGCCTCTTCGCCGATTCCCTTCTCCTCCATCCTGCATGAATGCTCAGCGGATAGTACGACCCTTGTGCCCCCTGCTCTACCCTCTCTGCCCCCTTCCTCTCCTCTTTCCAGACACAAGTCTCCCACCCCCATAGCCCACAAGAATAAAGAGGAAACCTGAAACCTCAGCTTCTAAATCAAGTAACAGTCTCCCCAGCAGAAATCGCACAGGGATATTGCATGCCTGCGCGTACAAGTGTATGTGTTCCCTTGGCCCGCTTAAAATCCCCGGCGCCCCGTTTGTCCAGCCACTTCTCTTCCTTCAGCTTTTCTTTTTCTTTTTTTTGTCGTGTGTGGCTCCGCTACGTCTTCAGCCATGTGTGTGTGCCATGGTATCGCTGTATTCCGAGCCCTACCCTGTCTTTCTCGCCAGAAAACCCTGGCTTGGTGCAGTACAGGCTGCGCCTTGTGCCGACAACGTTTGATTGAATGTTCTGGAATAAGAAGGAGATAGTTATACCTGCCCGCGGCGGTTGGGGTGTATGTTCATGTTCATGTTACGCGAGTTCATGTTACGCGAGATCCGGCTGGGTGATATGTGCATCTCTGGTGTTTTGTGGGTTGGGTTTTGCGATCGCGTGTAGGGTTCCGTTCCTTGGGCAAGTTGAGCGGCTTGGAGAGGTGAGGCCTGGAAAAGTTGATGGGTTTTCGGTGATGGGCTGATGCACCGGGGAGGTGGGGGGGCAAAAGAGTACATATACTGAGCTCGGGATAGATTTCCAGGGGGGGGCTAGCATCTGGGTTGACTTTCTGATGGGGATGGTTTGCGCGGTTGAGAGGTTGGGGATTGGGCAGATACATGTACATGTACATGTACATGTGCTGTACTGTGTACAAGTCTGTACATGGGTGGGCTGTACTTTCGATACCTTCATATTTTTTTTTGGATGGTGATTGCACCTAAGAGAGAGATATGCTTAGGGTTCATGCTACGTGGAGAGTGAGTTCCCGCTCTTTCGAGGAGGTTTTGGGTCTGCTCGATTATGTTCTTGTTCTGGATTGATGCAATGCATTATAGCATCTGAAAGTCTTCTGGGTAGCTGATACTAATTTGACGGGTATGCTCAGGATAAGCCTGGACAGATCTGTGTCTGCTCTAATCACTGCAATACATCTACTAACATCTTCGCTTTTCATCGGCACGCCACCTATCTTGGTCGTTTCTCTTCCCCTCCTTGGACTGGAAGCGCGAGTCGTCGAGGATCTCCGGGTCTTTCTGCACGGCCCATGTCCACCAGCAGCCTGATATGCACTCGGTGTTCTCGGGGTGAATTGCATGTACCGCACCACCTTTGAATCCCCCTACTTCCCCCGACTCATCACCATCCCTACCGAGCCATGAACGACTTTGACGCCTGGAATCTCCGCTTCCCAAATGCCGGTCTCGCCGCCCGAGCCCACTTCATGCCACCGCTTCAGCAGATCGTTGCTCTCCACCGGCTTGACCTCCTGGGAGACAGTGCCGACCGTAATGTGGGGGGTCTCGTTGGCGCACGGCCAGTCGCCCTGGCTCCCGTCCTCTGGGGGCAAGATGCGCGCGACGAACACCATGAGGCGGTTATCCCAGATGAGGCGCTCAAGACGCACACGGGCGGGAGCCAGGGTGGGGGTGATGGTGGGATCGGATTCGGGCTTGCTCTTCATCTTCTCGACATAGTGGCGGGTGTACCCCTCCCAGATGTCGGGGCTGTCTCTCTTCGAGGCACGATGGATCAACGTGACATGGAAGGCGGGCTGGATGCGGCGCGATCGCGCGAGCTGATGGTAGATGCGGGCTCGCTCGGGGTCGGTCGAAGGCGGGAATAGCGACTGCAGAACGTTCGTGATCTCGGCCGCCGGCAGGCTGATGCAGAAGTACTCGAGCTTCTTGGCCAGATCCTCGGCAGTCGGGGCTACCGTGTTATCGGGGGTGCTGGTTTTGTTGTTGCTCTTGTTCTTCTGTTTCTGGACCTGTTTGGCTGAGCTGTAACCCTGGCTGAGGTCGAGCTCCACCTGGTAGTCGTTCATCGCCCAATTGATGGCGTCGTCGAGCTGCTGTGCGGTGGGAACCTCCTTCACCAGTTTGGGGTAGGACGAGTGTAGGGCTTTCACGACGGTCTCGAGATTCTCCCGCGAAGAAGCTGCGACATCCAGATCAATGACCTCGTCGAAGTCTGAATCTGGGACACGGTCCGTGTTCACGCCCTCGAAGCGAGTAAGGAACCCCTCCATGATCCCGATGATTTCTTCTGTGTTCTTGGTGCCTGCACGGATCGTCTGGTGGTTGTCGCCACGACTCAGTACCCGCTGTCTCGTAACCTCGCGAATACCAGGGAGCATCTCCTGCTTGGGGTCGTGGACATAGTGAAGAGCGATGAATCGAGCCCTGGGAACCCCTGCGGAGACATCCTGTATGAGCTGCTCGCGTTCGCGTTTCTGGTGATTGTTTCGGTCCGCAACCACCACCGGATGTATGGCAAGCAGTTTGTTTATATCCATGGCGAACTTTTTGGGTTTGTTCTTCTGTTTCGGGATGTTGTCGTTCTGTACTTGGCCCCAGTTGAACAATTTGACCAAAGCAAGACCCAGGGTGGTCTTTCCGCATCCCAGGGAAGCTACAGGGACCAAGACAACATCTCTTACAACTTCCTCCTTTGAGTCTTCAGATTCCATTTGGATGATTTCAGAACCGTTCATCCCGTGCTCCTGAAGAAAGCCTTCTCGCATAGCGATTATCCCGTGGTTCTTGTTATACTGCTCCCCTAGGTGCGGGTTCTGTGCGAGCTGTCTGCGAGCATACTGTAGATACAGTTCCGTGATCTTCTTGTGCTTCTTGATATTAGGATATTTGCCGGCGATGATCGCTTTGGTGCACTCGCGCCACTGCCTGTACATCAAGTAAGGCTCTTCAAACTTGTACTTGAAGAACCAATCATGGTAGGGAGGACGGCCACCTTCACCCATCTGGCAGCGAATCACAAACCCTTCGGTCTCGCGACCGTGCCATGTTCCGGTCTCTGCACACTCCTCAAGGAACTTCTTCACCTGGTCGAGGTCTTCGTACACCACGAAGTTAGCCTTCTTGAAGCCCCACGAGTCGGCGAAGGCGTGGACTTCTGCGCTGGAGCACGTAGCGAACTTCGGAACGTTGAAGTTGAGACCGTGCAGGTAAATTCCTGAGACCGTCTCGTCGTATGCAAGGACATGCTCCTCGAAGCTGTCGTCACAGAGCTCGCCCACTGCCGTCACATTGAGTCTGCGCAATTCTCGTGCCAAGTCCTTGACAGATTTCCCAACAGACTTCACATGCCTCTCGACCCACCGTTCACCGGCCTGGGCGTGGCTCACTTCCGCATCATTTCGAACACCCGTCGAGTGCTTACTGCAGACCAGAAGAGTTCCGTCTTCGAGCCCAGAGATGAAAATGATGCACCCATTCTCTTTCACGCTGAGCTCGTATGGCCCTCGTGTGTTCATTTCAATATTCCTCCATTTTGTCGCGTTGACCTCCTCAATGTTGAAGAATTTATCGTATCCCCGGACCGCGATTTCATGTGTACCGTCCTTCCTTTGGGTGGTGAAAAGACCTCGAGCGTAAGTAGGGAGATCGTGACGTCGGTAATCCCAATCCATGAACTTCCAAGAGTTAACTCTGATGCTGTCGGTCTTGTCCACATCGAATGTCGACTTCTTGCAGGTGAAGGTTCTCTTGCTCTCAGCTTTGCCTCTCTTTCTGGCCTCTTCCAGGCTCTCCACAAGCTGAGCTACTTCCTGCTCATCCTGCCGGACAGGTGTGATGTTCTCGTATGACATGGTCGTAAATCGGTGTTTCGTGTTAACTTGGACCGCAGGTGTAAAGCACCGTGGGTGCTGAAGGCGCGCGTGAAGGAGCTGAGGCCGACGGCTTCGAAGGAAGGGAGGGGCGGCTGACTTGTGTCGCCTGGGCCAGAAAGCAATTGCTCTTGGAACTAATCTCGCTGGCTTCATCAAACAGATGAATTTTGATTGGAGGTGCTCAGCGAATCATCGATAGCAGACAGTAATGGGGGAAGAGAAAAGAGCTACTCGTCAGCCTTGCCGGAAATTGGAGTTGCTTATCGGCTTTGTTCGTATGCGGGGCAGAGCTACTGTTCAAGTATACTTTTCAAAAAAGCACCTTTTTTTCCCGCTCGCCGCCACCTCCGACCGACCCCTCCTTCACTTCGGCCTGACTGATTCAGATCTCCCAACCCTCTTTTCCAAATTTCTCTGTCTCAATCTATTCAACTAGTACGTCTGTGTGTGACTCAAGGTTCGTCTAATCTCGCTGACTGACCCAAATTTGGCCTGACTGACTCAATCGATAATTGTCTAGCCGCCACAATGAGTCAACCCAACCCCTACATTCTGGCCGCCGAAAACCCCTCCGCTCTTCTAACGCTATTGCGCGCGAACCCGTCCATCGCTTCCGGTCAAGATGAGCACGGTTACTCACTACTCCATGCTGCCGCTTCCTACGGTCACATTGATCTTCTGCGCGCCCTGGTGAAAGAGTTCAACGTGGACGTCAACCTTTTGGACGAAGATGGCGAGACCTGTCTCTTCGTGACGGAGAGCGTTGAAATCGCAAAGTGCCTTGTTGAAGAACTTGGGGTCGACTACAACAAGAGGAACGATGAAGGCTTGGCTGCGTATGAGACCATTGAGAACGATGACTCGTTCCCTGAAGTTGCAGATTATCTGCGGCAAGTAGCGGGCGTCCCAGCGCCCGCCCCTGCAGATTCTTCGGTGGATGTCGCCTTGAATCAACCTCCCCCTCTGCCTGCAAACCTGCAGCTGAACCTAGGCACGGTGTCGGAGCAAGAGGCGAACGCGGGAATCGACCAGGTGGACCCCGAATTCAAACGTCGGATTGATGAGCTGGCCGCGCGGGAAGATTTCCACAGTGAAGCTACGCAGGCCCAGTTGCGGGAGCTGGTTATGGATGCACTCCGAGGCTCTAGTATTGAGACTGACGAGCGTGGTGTGCGTCGGAGAACGGATTGAGAAGTTGTGGGTTTTCACTTCAAGGACCATTTTGGCTTGCCAAACAGCTTCCGCTTCACTCATCTGAGTCATTATGGGCGCGTTGGTCTATTGGGCCTGCCTGCGAGGCGTCTAGCGATCTCGAACCGCTATTGAGTCTCAACCATTCTCGCCGCTCCAAAGGGTAATAGCGCAGCGCTATTTCGAGCATTTCAACTAGGACGTATACCAACTCCAAGTTTTGAAAAGGACAGCCAATTTGCGCAAGCCACAAGGTTCGGCTCAGGCTTTTATGAGTTGAGCTTATATCGGGCAACCATATCTTGTTGGGTTTTGGCAGCTACGAAGACTACCTACATACTACACGCACCTTGAAAAATGCTGTGTCTCAAGTAGCAAAAATCACTGCGAGTTCTCTAAATGCACTCTTCAAAGACTTTCTCCACACCGGCAAGTGATCAACAAAGGCCCTTTCGTAAAAGAGCAACGATGGTTGAATCTCCAGTAGCATGTAGACGGGAGATATGTCATCTCACGTGATTCGGTGCCTTTTCCCCGCATCGCCCGCACCCGGACTGTTTCTCCTGTTACTCCAACCATCCAATTGCCTGCCTTTGCTTGTTCAGGTGCATCCCTCGTTCAGCCCTGGCTCTCTGGCCAAAGTACCATTTCTAATATCTGGTGCCCGCTTTACATCGAAAGCCCCTGGTCACCATGAACCCGGCACTTAACTCCGACACGCCTCCTCCCCCACCTCCGAAGCCCAGCAGCCACGAGGCCAGTCGAAGAGGCACACCCCAACTCAACTCACCTTTGCCCGGCACACCGCAGCAGCTACACAGAGCCTATAATCAGCAGGAAAGACTGGACATGTATTCAGGACACAGATATTCCTCACCAGGGGTTCCTCCGAGCTCCCAGAACGTGCTGCCCCAACCACCTCCTGTTGAGGAAGGTTGGCTACCCAGTAGTGTCAAGGACAAGAGGTATAATCCTACTCTGTATCAATCTTACAGCTGTATCAAGAACATCCCACTGACTTTGATCTTCTCCACAGTACTGTGGATTTGCAAACCATTCTCAAAGACCCGAGCCTCATCTCCGCGCTGTCGAGCCAGCATCCATCCTACACGGCGCATCAGCAGCATCTGGAATCTCTCCTGAAGTACAATAAAGACCTGGCAACTCGTCTTCTCGAGCTCCAGTCGCAGATGTCGGAGCTACGGTCCTCGACGGAGACCCTTCTCCTAACCCATCAATCTCTCGAGGTTTCCTGGCGGAAGAAGCAATCCGAGATGGATGCTGCTCTGGCCCCGTGGTCGCCCAAGGCGCTGTACCAGAGGCTGGCTGCTTCGATATCGGAGCAGGAGGCTGTCTGTCGAGCGGTCGAGGAAAGTTTCCTGGAGGAGGAACACCATGGCCGGGCGTCGGAGAAGGAGGTCGCGGATTGGGTTCGACGGGTCAGGGCAGAGTCGGCCAAATTGGCCGCGAGGAGGGAGGCGAAAGCTAGGTGGGATGAGGGACGGGTAGGAGGATGGAGGTGATGGAAGCGGTCCGTTGGAATCAAGGATTCACTACGCTGGGTTATTATTGGGTCCCTGATGACCTCGGGACGGGATGCGTTTCCCATTGCTAAGCGTACGGGGAAAAGGGTGAGGGCGCCAGAAGACAACACCATGGCCTACAGCAATCTTCCAAATGACTCCTGCATTGTCACATCTTCCACTGGCCTGATACACGCTGTTATCTGGTCAAGATGTAGGGATCCTACTCCCTTGCTGCTTTACGGCCACTCTCGAGGTCAATATCTTGATCCCTGGTCTCTGCTCTCACTGGCGGTGCATATTTAGCGGTTGCCCAGTTGTCTGCGCAGACATGGCTCGGCAGTCCCACGCTTCGGAAGAAAGCATGGCTACTGTCCCTCGCCCCCCAAGACCAGCCTGCGCCGCGCATCACGGGAAGCTGGTAAAGGCGAAAACCGATCCAGGCGAAGACGATCCCCATGACTGATCCAAAAATGATGTCAAATCCATGGTGGCGGTAGTCAAACCACCGTGAGGCAGCTATGAAGAACGCCACCGCTATGGGCACGAAGACTATGATGAGCAGGTAAACCGGCGGGGCTGCTCCCTGCCTTCGAATGGTGCTACGCTCCTGTCTCTGCAAATCCTGGCTAAGCGGTGAATGAGCGAGGTAAGGAAATCCGATGGACAGTTTAGCACAAAGCCATAGAGTCAGATACGTCAATCCGCCAAATGCGACTGTTGATTATATGTCAGCACTGTCTGTTCCCCGCACAGTCATTGGGTTTCCCTGGGAACGGATCACTTACAAGAAGAATGCCCACTGGGGAAACTCGAAAAGCCATCAACAGCCAACTCGCGCGCTTGATTTCGACAGATCTCCCACGTGACCAGTGTAGGGGCTCCATCGAGTCTGGATCCCAGGCCGCTGACAGCGAAGTTGCCGATCTTCGAGAGATCCGGATCGCATCGCGCGAGCATATCCGGTCGTGGTTTCCCAAAGAGATCCTTCAGCCCCTCGGTCGCCATATAGGCCCCCGCAAGCGATATACCCAGGCCCAGCCATCCGGCATTCCACTCCCATAGCTTGTACCGCCATGATTTTGCGCGTGCCACGATCGTTGTCTCGTGGCCTGTCATCGCAGGGCCGAAGGGGATGAGCACCAGCGCCCCGAGGACGATGATCACGGCCGGGACAATTAAGGCGACCACCGCCACCACACTGACCGATACGGTATCATGGTCTCTGTGGGGGAAGGAGATGCTTGGATCCGTGAGGGAAAATGGCCTCTGATTGGGAGAGACACGACCGAATCCATAGCCAATAAGTGCGATACCACTGCAGGGAGAACACCATGAGTACTGTACACACACACCGACGCAACACGATCTATACGAGCTTTCTGGGGGTCTAACTCGCAAAAACGCACATGATAAGTATCCAGTCAAGGATATACGAGACGACCAGTCGCTTGGAAAAGCGCACATGCGCTGCTCCGAGTTCGTTTGCTCCTGTCGTCGCCGCTGAGGATGGTTGTTGTTCGTTCTGGTTGGAGTTGCGCGCCATGGCCGATGGGTGATGATGTCATTCACCAAAGTTGACGTGATAGGAAAGTACTCGAGTATGTACAGTACGAAGTAGAAAACTTGAGGTTGTTAATTACTAGTCAAAAAAGTTCGAGTTTAATTCTGAGAGAAAAGAAAGTCTGAGCAAGAGAGGAGCTGGGCAGATTCTTCTCACCTCCCGATTTCTTTTTGTCTTCGTATGCGAGGGTGTGTTGAGCTGGAACTGCAGCAACCAACCTGTAGGTCAAAACTGTGGGCAGGGCCTGGACCTTAGTAGGTAGGTATTGGCCAGGTGACCATGCCAGCCACTTAAGGTACGGTACGACCTTTGGAGCCGATTGCCGTGCCCACTACTGCAGTGCGTGCGCCTTCTGCCCTTCCTTCTCATCTTATGATCTGCACTTTAACTCTTATCATGCAGATCTCGAGCGAAAAAAGAGGGGCATGATCGACGTCAGGGATAGGGGGGAACAAAGACAAAACTCGTGTTAATTTATCATCTCGGATTTATTTTATTTTCTTTTTGACATATCATTTCATTGACTCATATCCATAACATTATATTACATAGCATGCGCCCTCCCCTAAACCTTTTCTTTTTGGCAAGGGGGTGTGATGTTGTCACATGCTGTTGAGTTGGAACGCTTGTGAAATTTTCGGAGAAAAAAAGACGAGGATGGTTGGGGGGGGAAAGGGAAATTTATTTCTTGCCATCCAAGTCGGTGAAGAAATCTTTACCGAAGTCGGCGCTGCTGTCGTTGAAGCGGAGCTTGCGGTCGATGCCGCGGATCTTCTGCATGTCTTCGTCGCTCAGCTTGAAGTCTCCCTCCAGGTTGGCCTGGATTCGGGATGGGGTCTTGGACTTGGGGAGGACGGAGTGACCCTGTGTGATACCCCAGGCTATATTCACGAAAATGGGTTAGTGGGCGTGTCTTTTTTGTTGGGGGTGGGGGGATGATGGGAGAGAGGGATCTGATCAACTTACCCAGTGCGACCTGAGCGCCACTCTTGTTGTACTTCTTGCCGATGTCGACCAGGACGGGGTCCTCGATCAACTTGCCGATGGTACCCTCCTTGGAGTAGAGCTCGTTCTGGTTACCGAAGGGCGAGTAGTGGGTGATGTGGATGCCCTTGGACTTGTGCCATTCGGCGAAGTCGGGCTGCTGCAACCAGGGGTGGCTTTCGAGCTGGTGGGCGGCGGGCACGACGGAGGTCTCCTTGAGCAGGCGCTCCATCTCGGCCTTGGAGAAGTTGGACACTCCGATGGCCTTGACCTTGCCGGTGGAGAGGAGCTTCTCCATAGCCTTGTATGTCTAGAATGGTGGGTCAGTATCCTCGATGTCCGTTCAAGTGTCTTGCCGAGGAGGCGGGGGGCTGAATGGTCTTACGTCGACGTAGTCAATGTCCTCCACAACGGGTTTATCGTTCTCCTTGGGGAACAGCTCGTCGCCACGCTTCCACGCAACGGGCCAGTGGATCAAGAAGAGGTCAATGTAGTCGAGCTGCAGGTCGTTGAGCGAGTCCTGAAGCGCCTGGGGGACATCGTCGGGGTGGTGCTTGTTGTTCCAGAGCTTGGTGGTGACGAAGAGCTCTTCGCGGGGAACGCCGCTCTTCTTGATGGCTTGGCCGACGGCCTTCTCAGTGCCGTATCTATTTCAATGGAAATCAGCATGTGTGTCGCCAAAAAAGAATAGGTGAGGTATGGTCTGGGGAGCGTACACTCGGGCGGTATCGATGTGACGGTAGCCGGCCTTGATGGCTTCGAGAACGGCATTCTCCTGAGCATCGGCGTCCTGCCAGGTACCGAATCCAACAGCAGGGATCTCTGCGCCGGTGTTGAGCTTGAACGTGGTGGCCATTGTGTATTAAGTTGTCGGTTTAGTGAGTTGTGAGTGAATATGCAAGGTATCAATTGAGGTTCTTAGTGCAAAAAAGTGGTTTGTCTGGTCCGATTCTAACAAGGCCAACAAACGGTCTTTATACCAGCGGAGATAGAGGCCGACGTCAATTTGACGCAGCAGCCTAATCACACAAGGTGCTTGTCTTGCCTCGTAGTGTGGATAACCATGACGTCGGACCGTTCCACATCGTTGGACCCAGCGACGGGTCCACGGATTTGCGAAAGACCAGGGACGTTATTCATGATGTCTCAGACCCGGCAATGATGTCGCTCAGTTATCTTTGTTGAAGCCATTCCTCCTGTGATCACTTCGGCATTATCGGTCCCTCATAGAGGGGTTCGAAGGATAGACCCACATAGAATCATCCTTCAGGTGGTTTGCACGAAGAAACCTATGGAATGAAGAGCGGTGTTCCACAGCTCATCATGAGAGGATAACATGGCTATGAGTTCAGTCAGTGCATCACAGTTGGATTTCGGATTCTAATTCCGCCTTCAATCTCAATGCGAAGGAACAGCCAGCCCATGACCAAGCGAGACCGAGAGCTGTTCAAGCTCTATGTACTGAGTATGAGTAGCTTAGCGAAATCGGCTAGACTGCCGAAGCACTAGCTGTTTGTCCCGCAATCAAACAGCATAAGTGGCGACTCTCACTTCCCGTACCTCATGCTTTCTATAAATTTTTGACGCAACCCACAACAATTTTTTTTCTTCCCATCATGATCGTGCAACCACAACCACCTGAAGAGTCGCCCAACACCGCGACCTTGTGAGGATATCTTGTTTAATGATGACTTGACATTCTCGACTCTCAATGGCACAATTGTAAAAGGTATGCGAGGACTTTTGCTTGGTTTTCAGTGTTTCCCCCCTCTTGGATGATGACCCTATGACACGCTTTAAGGCATTCCTCAAACTTAATCACCATGTGGAATTCGTGTTTTAACTCAAGTTTCAGCCTTGTCTGACCTACTTCAATTTATCTTGCTGTCTACTCAATTAGCTTGTCATTTGTGACTCTTCACTAACTTGCTACTTGATAGGTAAATACCACTCATTCAACTCCTCTGCCTATCTGGCTGCCGATGAAGAAATCTTGAACGAACGGGCGGACATAACGTTTACATGGACCTGCGCCCATCAAAAGCGAGGCGTACAAACCTTGCGGGTGTCAGGAAAGTGTATAACTTGTTGAGATCTTCGTCACCTGAGCTTTCATCGATCCTCTTCAGTTGTTGGAACCGTCTTTGGCTTCGAGTCATACTAACGGGAACCGACAGGTAATTTCCATTCGCTTCCTGTCTCGAACACGAGCATTGCCCAAGTCAACTTTATATGATGAACACTTATTCACACTGTTTGATCTGTGTACTCTGTACATGGAAATGAACATTAAACACAAAATTCTGATTTAATGAGGTTGGTACACGAAAATTCTGTGGTTTTGTGGGCTCTCGCTAACTCATTACTAGCCTGACTTCAGTTGACATCATTATCTCTTGAACTCACTCATGGGTTGTCATGAATGTGTTGCTGATTCTGTGGTCAAAGATTATAGGAACACTGATACCCTTGTAGTACATTGACGGAGAATTTGTGAGTATTTACCCTCAACCACACCTTGCCCTTGCATGATGATTCTTAAAATTCGCTGTGTTCTTACTGAACTACAATGTCGAAACAACAAAGATTCACCTTGGAGAACTGATCTTTACGCCTTCTACTTGATTGTGTAAGAGATGATTTGCTGTAATGGCTGCTAATATCTCATCATAGATGACTTTTGCTCGCTCTCAGCACAGATACTCATAATGAATGAAAGAAGAATATTTTATCAAACTTGAATGCTCTTGTAATTGCGTACCGTCATCCACTCAGCACAATCGTAGTCATCCTTGGTCTCTCCCCTATTGCCTATTCGAAGAAGAGATTATGCTTCTTATGCCACTCTTCCAAACTATCACTCGGATATTCCTCGTGCACCTGCTTCTTCCCCTCAGGCCAACGCGCCCACGTCGGCTTCGACCCAGCCATAATGCAAACCATCTCATCAGGCACCGGCAACTCGGTGTCGATCGCCGACGCGAACGGATGAATCAACTCCGGCCATTGCTTGTCCCACAGCCACAGCATGGTACTACAGTTGGAGCAGAAGTTCCGCTCCGACGAACAAACCTCCTCCTGTTCGGTACCGCGGGCCTTGATCGCGGAATATTTCCTTTCCGTGCAAATCTCGTTGTCAGTCGGGGTTCCGAACCAAATGTATCATACAATAGTCTTGGGGCATTTCGACATACTTGATCAAATCCTTGCCTTTCTTGATGTTCAAGGTGTCGGCGATTCCGCCGAGATTGACGCTGCCGCTGTAGCCGCCTACCTTGCGACAGATGCTGCAGGCGCATAGCTGGTAGGGAACTGGGGTTGAGGATTGCAGGGAGAATTCAATGCCGCCGCATTGGCAGCTGCCTTCTAGGGTCCTGATTGTTTGGTTTTTTTTTAGTGTTTGAATCGAGAGTTTTGGGGGTTGTTCATTGATGCTGTAACATGCGGAGATATATTTACTGTCGCGGCTGGTGACTGTAAAAGGTGGAAAGAAGAACTCACATTGGCATTTTCGGGTGTTCGGATTACTATACACGGAGTTGTGGTTTGGATTAGTGAAAGCTGCAGATGAGGTCAATCCCTTTGAAGTAGGCTGTCATGAATTATAAATATCCTGGGGTTGGAGGACAACGTCATTGATATATCAGCGCCGCAGCTGTCCGTATCTAGGCGGGTCAGGAGGGGTGTGCCTGTACCATCTAGCAACACGCTCACAAAGAAACAACATATAACTAGGGGTCCGAGTACACTCGATTGGTCATCTAAGATATAGGTCCAGTCGACCAATTATCAACCTTTGTGACGCCTATCTTCCTCAAAACCTACAGGTTACATGGCCCCGGCCGAGGGTTGACCCCGCACGTATGAGTCAGGCCAGAAGCCAAACTCATGACACTCATGGCAGCAGGCTCTGTCCTTTTGTAAGCATTAGATAGCATTTACTAAGAACTCGGACAGGTTCCAGCTCACTTTGACACATGCGGTGGTGCATATTGAGTAGATCATCTTGAACAAATGTTTGTCATGTTTGTCATGTCTGTCATGTCTGTCATGTCTGTCATGTCTGTCATGTTTGTCATGTTTGTAATGTTTGTTTGGCGGCACCGCTCCGGGCCTTTTTTCTCCTTCCGCGGCCTGGCAGAGGCAGGACCATTGTGAATGCCCTCCGATAAACAGCCGATAAGACGTTGCTCGATCTAACAAGCTCTTCGCTTGCTCCATACTCTCCGAACCGGATCATCACCCAGCCACCTCAAGGACCGTGCCACTTAGCCTTCGCCATGGGCTTCGGAGCTCCCGGTGGTGCCGCAACCAACTACAAGCCCACGCCGTAAGTTGTGGTCTGATGATTTCCTCTATCTCCGGTTTCCGCAACCGCGCGCGCGGTGTGCCATTTTGCGATGCAGGAGAACGGACCCAGTGCTAACTTCTGCATGGGGTTGTGTATAGTCCCGAGCGTGGCAGCTTTCCCCTGGATCACTATGGTAGGCCACCCACCCTCTCTCCCTCCCTCTCCGCCGGCTCCAATTCGGCTGCGCCTGCAGGCCCTCCGCACTTCCTCGGCACATGCGCACACACGCAAAGTAAGCGGGAGAAACGAGACTGACATATCCTGGGCTGCAGGCGACTGCAAACATCTGATCTCCGATTACCTGAAATGCCTGAAATCGAACCGCGGCGTGAACGACGACGCATGTCGACAATTGGCGAAAGGGTATCTCGCTTGTCGGATGGAAAAGTATGCCTTTCCCCCCCCCCATATTCGTGTCATACAGGATATTCCACGGGGAAAGTATGTCTGCTAATACGTGAATTTGTTCTATGCTTGGTAGCAATCTCATGGCGCCGGACGATTTTAAGAACCTCGGGTTGACATTTGAGAAGGACAAGGCCGCTGCTGCTGCTGCTGCTGCTGAGGGGGCTGCGGCGGGGACGGAGAATAAGTCATAAGTTTGGGGGTGGTTGCGAGGGTTGTACGATATTTCTGGGACGTTGGCGGTCTTTTGTGCAAGACATGAGGGGCTGCTGGGTTGGTTGATGATTTTCACGATCTGGTAGATTGGTAGATATTCTCTCACTCTTCGTATTTTTCGGCGTCTGGGAAAGGTGGTTATCTATATTTCGTTCTATGTATGTACAGGATGTGCAGGATTATATGGTCTGTATATATGTATTGATTTAAAGCCTTCGCTCAAGCCAAATATCTGAGGCATACTCATTCTGAGTATGTTTGTTGTGGCCTGCGATCTCATTTAGAGGTCTTATCAGAAGAGAATGCGGAAAGCCCCAATTTCCCATGCGGGGAAAGCTAAAGTTATCCGCACCACCGCGGCGAACGGAACTCTTAGTCCTTAACAACTTGCCTACGGACTCTCCATCCTTTCCATTTACCATTGTGTCTCTTCGAGCTATCCCTTAAAATGCTCACCTTCACCTACCAATAAAGAAAGATAATCGGCGAAGACCTACCCCCCCCAAAAAAGAAAGACGATCTCCGCCCCCCATAATGTCCTCCATCGCCCGGCCCCCGGACCCCTGCCTGGTCGCCATCATCCTCATCGTCCGCTCGCGCGCCGGCCCCCGCTTCGTCTTCCACTACCCCCCCAACCCGCTCAGCGAGAACGGCTTCCGCTCGGCATCCTCCTCCAAGGCGGCGTCGTCGTCATCGATCTCCTCGCGCCGCGCCTCGCGCTCGAAAGCCACGTCCTCCTCCAAACGCGATCCCAATGAGTCCAGTTCCAGTAAGGAGAGCGGGTCGTCCTCGGATGAGGATGAAGAGGAGATCATTATTCCCCTGCAGCAGCAGCTCAACCAGTCGTCGTTGTATGTGGTTGGTGGGGGCGGCAATAGTGGGGTGAATAGTCGTCGGCCTAGTAGTTTCGGGCTCGGCGGTGGTGGTGATGATGGCGGAGGAGGAGGGACGGGCGGAGGAGCGGGAGCACGGGCTGGGATTGCTGGGTCGCCTGGTGCGGAGTCGCAGAGGGCGGGGTCCATTGGGTCGGGGAGGGGGCTGTTGCGCGGTGGTGGTGCTGGGAGTATCAAGCAACGCGGGGCGAACTCGGATGTCGAGGATGAGATATCGATTGGGGAGAAGGGCGAGGATGAGGTGGGGAGTGCAGGCTTGGGGGTCGGTGGTGGTGTTGTTGGAGGGCAAGGAGGGAGTGGAGGTGGAAGTACAGGGACTCAGGGTGAGGGAAGTGGAGGAGGAGGTGTTGGTGGTGGTGGTGGTGGCAGTGGAGGAGCTGGTCGAGGTGGTAATGGGGCACGTCCACCCTGGGAGACGTTGCTGGGACTCCCTGCTGATGTCTGGGAGAAGTTGTTGAGTCCGTCGCGGTCGTGGCATAAACGACGGTTCGAGGTCGGAATCAACGACCTTGCCTTCGTCGGGTGGCCGGTGTTCGTGCGGGAGGACGGCATGTGGAGGAAAGAGAGGCGCAAGAAGAGGAAGCCTCGTGCGACTTGGGAGGGAGGGGAGCTTGGCCATAATGAGAAGCCCGAGGATGATGACGAGGACGATGCTCGAGGGGAGGCGGCCGCGGACCTCCTGGCGGCTTCAACAGAGACTTTGAGTCCGAAGCAGATGACCCCCGCAGAATCTCAGCGTGCCTCGGTAACCAGCATCCACTCGACCAGGGCGGCAAGTGAGTCGCTGGATGGCGATGATAAGGACTCCATGACTATGTTCAACGTGGTTTTTGTGCTGGATCCGCCTTTATTGGAGTATTCCATGCGCCTCCGGGAAATCTACGATAACATCATTAAGAAGTTCTCCAAGGCGTTGAAGTGGGAGCAAGCGCGGACGGACTACGTATGGAGGGAAGCTCGCCATATCTCGCACATCAAGGAGAAGGCGAAGGAAAAGGGTATGTGGCTGTGTCCTCTGTCGACGCTTTTCGCTAATTAATCTTGTACAGGAATGTCCGTCAACAATCTCTACTCAGACCTTGTTCACCAGTCATCCCTGGCCAGGGCCATCTACACCGTATACACGAGCATATCAGCATCAAAGATTGCATCTGTCACCCTGAGTCCGGACGTTTCCATCTCATTGCAAATCCCCCCTTTGACATCGACACCGTTCCTAGCAGGACCGACCGACAAGGCGTATCCTGGCCTCTGGCTCACCACCGCAGACAGTGTCACGCCGGTTGATGACCCTACTGCTGACGAGAACACTGCGCCACATCAGGTATTAGCCAAGCACTTCGCTTTGTTGCTGCTGGACAACGAAGCAACCATCTTGAAGGATGTCGAAGCTTCTGGGGGTGCTTTGGCCCCTGCGCTTGCACATTATATTCGTTGCTCGAAACCTACCAAGTCATTCGCCCAAATAGCCGTGACCTCCGGCATACCACTGTCCACCATCCAAATGCTTGCCAGCCATTTGGTGTACTGGCGAAGAGCGCGGGCGATCCCCCCGCTTCATCAGAGAGACACCTATGTTGTATCACCAAATTGTGATCTGAGCAAATTGGAAGTGGCGACAGCTGCCTACCAAGCAGCTTTCCCGACTCTGCCTAGTCTCCCTAAGATGCTATCGGCCATGAGCGGAACCCCCAGACCGTACGGAAGCTTTATCCCCAGCAAAGACCACAAAGTCACATACTTCGCCATATTGGCGTGGTTGCTGCGAGGTGGCTGGGTTACCCAGCTGCGCGCGTTTGCAAGGGTCAAAGTGTCTCCGGAGATTAAGATGGCGGTCGAAGCAGCCATTCGCCGGGAAGAGGTCGACAAGTATCTGAGCAAGAGCGTCGTCAAGTCGGACGCAGACGACATTGACGATGATGATGATGATGATGCAAACTCATCCTCGTCATCGTCCCTCGACAGTCAAGATAGCGGGGAAGAGACCCCAATGCCTGGCCGGCACAAACCAGGCAAGAAGCTAGATTTGTCCTATTCGTTGCTGGACCGGACAACATCGCTGAGAACGTCTTCTCTGCTTTTATTCCCTCATCGCGCCTCGCCGCTCGAATCCAGATGGTTAGATGAGATCATGTCGCGATTCCCCGAGCGCGATGGACCGGGTACTGGCCGGGACGGCATCAACTGCGATGGCCCCGACGCCGACCTAGACCTCGTGGAGCTGCACCCATCTTTGAAGAAATACTGGCCTCGTTTCATCAAGTATTTCAACGGATATGACGCGCTGGAGAAGATCCCGGTCCGCGAGAACTTGAAGCGCAAGTTGGTGTGGCAGCTTCTCACGCGTCTCGGACTGGTGACAGGGCAGCAGTCGTCCGTCGAGCTGGATCCCAGAGAGCAAGTCCTGGTCAGTGTGCGTCATTGGTAAGGAGGAGGAATAAGATAATTATATTGACGATTAATGAGCCATAACCTGGAGGGTAATAGTGGTAAATCAGGAAAGAAAGGATCAATTGAATAGCTTGGCATAGTATCCGCCCTGGACGTATAACCTTTCAATAGATAGAAAGTACTGACGAACACTTCTGTCAATCTTCACATGATACAACTCAAGCAACAACACAATTGGGAAACAAGGCACGTGAACACAGTGATGAGCCCCCACAAATGGGTAACCCATTCCCCGGGCCGAATAATAATACCAAGAAAGTTCTTCAATTACATACAGTAGCAATTACCCTACCATTGCATGCTGAAACAGCCAAAAGAATTGGCAGAGGGGAAGGCCGGGATTTCCGAAGTGTTCCGAACTCGCACCGAAACGGTCAGAAAGAGCGGAAAGGAAAAGAAAATTTTAAGGATGGTTGCAACTGGAACGTGGAGCAGGTGCAGCAACTTGTAGCAGCAGCCAACCCTAATTTTTCGACATTTTTTTTTTCGAGCCACTCGCCCGGGGAGGGGAGGAGGGGGTTCCGGATTTGCGCTAAGCGATTTATGATTCAAAACCCATTGGCTCTTGGTTTGGTTTACTTGGATTCGTGATTCGTTGATGATGGAAGAGAACTGTAGACACCTTATGTACAGTATAATATATCGGCACAAGGGGAATGGGAGTATTTTGTTCGAATCCTGTCTTTGTGTATACCTGCAGAAGAAAGTGTAGTATCTTGTTCTGTCTGGAGAAAACACACTTCTTGTTTCAAGCAGCAGCGGGAAGCTGCAGAGGGCAGAAGCTTGGGTTGGATCATTAGAGGATAGTGAACCTGTATATCAATAATAAGGCTTCGCGCGTGGTGGTCGGTTGTAGTGCCAGTATGAGAGTATGGAATCTATGAGCAAGGCTTCAGGAAGCAGCTTGGTTGTTGTTTCCCAAGGCGCAGGGGGGTGATGGATTTGCCTTGCTGCAATAGCGTTGGACTACTATGTGGTTGTCATGGAACGACTGCAGGTTGACTTCGGATGGTCGGCCAAGGATGCTAATATTACACAGTCGATGGCACCAACACAATATTCTGCTCATGAGTAAGAAAAGATCGAACCAGATCAGATGTAAGATATAAAGGGTGACCACACAAATGAATAATTGACTGGCACTAGTTGCTTATTTGTGCCTGATTGGGTCAAACAGAATCTCTCAGTGAACCCCAACCCAACCCCTCCATTGTGTTCAGCTACAGATTCATACTCCCACAGTCTTTTAAGACTGGCAAGGGCAATCGGTATGACGGGTGAGTGAGGCTAGCTTCGGAGTACTGACTAGCTAGGTGCATCTGGTCATTCATGTGCCAGGACAACACTTGTGCAACCCTGCTGTCAAAAAGCAAAGCTAGACAAAACAAAATATACAGTAGTGAGGGGCTGTTTCTTCTTGGATGACCGCATCAATGGCGTCAAGCGTCAGCTTTTGCATTTAGGCGTATATATAGCCTAGCCTGGGTATACTCCATGTATGACACGAGAGGAATTCGACTAGATTCCGGACATCATTCTCCACGCGATCGCATTGTGATATGTACAGTGTATGTTGGACGTCCGGGCTGAAGTGGAGAGGGGAAGAAGATAGTGAGGGGCTACCGCGGTCAGAAAAGAGGACTGACTGATGGAAGTAGCGTCGCGACCAATGAGGTACAGGACTATTGATATTTCGGCTCGAGAATTTCCTCCAGAAAAGAAATTCCTTTACATCCATGGACCACATGAATGCTAGGAGACTGAGGAGTGAGTATAAGGAGCCATAGGACTACCACCATCAGGGTAGAGTAGATTTCATAGCAATCATCATTGTGAGAGTGCGAGGCCCTCCCCTTTAACATTTCCGTATATCGCCCGTGTACTGTATCCTCTGGATAGTCAGTATATCCGGCTATACGATCAACTTCAGAACTTCAAGTCTTCCAAGGTGGATTCGCCGGACATTTTCACGGGGCTGAGGAACGTGCAAGAGTGGTTCATACCCACGCAAAGCCCTGACATCCACTCAACTAACCGCAGTTCTTCAAGAAAAGTAGTGCGGGTATATGGAAGGAACAATGTTTTACCAGTTTTTTTTCTTTCCTTTCTTTCCCCCAACTCCGGATCTCTCCAAGTTTTAGGTAAGTTAGGTAAATCGGATACACGATTAATTACAAGGTCTGAGAGGCCCTTGTCCCTTCGTTCTTCCCCATTGATACTCATAATTTCTCTCTACAATATATGATATTAAGCAAATTGAAACATCATCCATGATCTGCGAAGACAAGATAAAAGAGTAAAGTGTTAACTGAATTGAAAGCAAAGAAGGTCGGCCAGGCGAATTCCACACAGGCTGGCTGGCTGGCTGGCTGGCTGTGAATTAACTGCCTTCTTCGGCTTCCATGTCTCTCCGGCGGCTTGTAACTTATTTCTTATGATTTTCTCTTTCCTCTGACACACACACATTATTGTCTGTCACTCACTCACATTCACTAAACTCATTAACCACTGTTACTACCAACGGGCAGTCTATTCCTTCATCCTCTTTTCGTTTTTTCCTTTTCCTTTCCCTTTACCCCCCCCTCTCCTCCCCTCTTCTTTCCCCTCCTCCCCTCCTCTAAACTACTACTACTACTACCCTTACCTCCATCCATAACTGTTTGGGAACTTTCGCTTTTCCTTCATTTTCTCTCCACCGGCTCTCCGTGCCTGTGTTGCTGTAGTGAAGTGGTGCGCCTTTTTCTCCAATACACTTTTTCCGTCTTCCGATCCACACATTTCTGTGTTTCGCGGAACTACGGCTTTTCTTATTTTTTTTTCTTCCGGCATTGAACAAGGTAACTTGATCGATTGATCACTTTGATCTTACCCATCTTGTACCTTCTCCGCACAGGTTCTGCTTCAAAACTCTTTTGTCGCAGCACCTCATTCTCATTTTGTTCTTTTTTCTGATTCCCTTCTGCTTTCCCGCACCAGGCCATTTTCCAAAACCTCGAAGTCAAGGAGCAGTCGTCACCACGTGCAAGTCGCGCTTCTCGTCCACCTTCTACACAAGGGGCAAGATCAACGGGTTCCTTGCGAGCTTAACCAGCGTGCATCGTTCTTAACTGTGCCCGCCCTGTCCTATTCTCAACTAGCCAAGTACCAGCAGCGCAGTTGGATCCTCCGACGGCCCGGACTTCCTAAGTACATTTCGTGAGTTTGGCAACAGTTCAGCAGCGAAAAACTCAACCCTAAACGAAAACCACCCAGGTACTCGTCGATATAGTACGGTTATTCGAGCTGCGATTTCCTGTCCTCAACGAACCTCTACGTCGATCCCTAGATCTCCCCCCTCGCTCACCGTTCCAACGGCCCTTGACGCGAACGAACCTCGGTATTCCTATCTGCATGCGATCCGTGTTCTAGATCCTAATTTCCGATCAGAGCATTTGCAGACCGACCACATTGTTACCAGCGTCATATCAGTACGAAAGGTTCGTCCTCGAAAAACAACCACAGCTACCTGCTGCCGAGTGATATCCAGCGACGGGAAGTTGCATAACGGCGGGGTTGCCTAAAGGGCGGAAGTTGTATCTTCTGCTTGCCATCGCCGGTGGAGTTATCTCACCGACCAACTGTGGTTGATTTTTCCCACGTTCTCTGGCAGAACACACCATTCCAACGCTATCTTCACTTTTTCTTCTTACCTAGAACGGTACTCTAGATACGTCTTTCACACACCAAAAAGATGGCTGCTACATTTTCCTACGCACAAGCCGCCAAGGGCGTCGCCCCAACAAACTCTCCCGCCGAGCCAGTCGCCTCATCCAACGAGCAGAACGCCGAGGTCAGCGCGGAACAGTCGACGGATGCTGCGTCTACCAAGGTTGAGCCAGGCCCCGAATCTGAGAACGTGAATGGAACCAACGACAAGGAAGCCGAATCGTCCAGCGTTGGCAACTCTTCAACCACTTCTAGCACGCTCAAGGACGAGGATGAAGTGAATACGCCCAATGGCACCTCAGAGTCTACTTGGGACAAACAGTCTCAAGCATCAGGAGCGGAGAAGGCCACCGGCGAAGAGGAGGGTGCTGATGACAAGACGGACGAGAAGGAGAAGAGCGTACCAGCTAAGGAATTGAAGGCTGCTCCTCTCCCTGCGGTCAACATCTGGCACCAGCGCAAAGAAGCCCAGGATGCTAAAGCCAAGGCTCTGGCCGCTTTGAAGCCTGCCACAAAGACTGGAACTTCCAAGACCACGTCCGCCGCTTCCTCGACGTCAGGCGATCATCAGCAGGAGCCCGCGAAACCTCCTAAGAAGAAGGGGACTGACGGTCAGGAAAGTGCCAAGGAGCGCAAGAAGACCGAAGGTGGTAAGGGACGCGATGAGAGCGCAAGCATTCCTCCCGTGGGAGATGCTAACCTCTGGCCGACACCCGATGTTGCTCAAGGTGAGGAGAAGAAGAAGCCTCAGGAGAAGTCCGATAAGAGCCCTGTCATTCGCCCTCACGGCAAGGAGAAGTGGATGCCTGTCCCATACGTCCCAACTGCCGTGTTCAACACCCCCCTTCCTTCTGCTGCCCGCCGCGGTGGAAGATCTGCCCGTGGCGGACGTGAGGGTGCTCGCAATGGCACCCATGGCGCCGACAAGAATGCTTCCGGTCAGGCCGGTCAGGGCTCTGCCAAGCAGACGACATCTGCAGACAGAGGCCGGAATGATACCAACTCTGCTCGCGCCAACTCTTTGCCTGCGCAATCTAGACGCTCTAACAGCGTTGATGCTGGACTTACCGACTCCCGCAAGCACCAGGCTGGTCGCGGACCCAAGGGCGCTGAGAACGTCAACGCTGCACAAGGTGGCAAGAATGTAAATGGCGCCGATACTTTCCCCCGTCACCACCGCGATGCTAAGCAATTTGCCAAGGGTCATGAAAAGGGCTCCGATCACCACTCCAGGAACCCCCAGTTGTCCGTCGATACCCAGGCTGCTCCGCGCTCAGGGTCCACTCGCCCGGAAAACGGCCCCAAATCGGGCGAATTTACCGGATTCCACGACCGTAAGGACAAGGACTTCTCTCGCGAGTCGCGCGCCGACCGAGGTCGGGGCTCACACCGTGGAGGTCGTGGAGGCCACGCCGGCTTCAATGGAGCCCCGAACGCTCATTTTCCCACCAACCACATGTCGCATCACAACTTCATGCACCCCAAGTCGTTTGGATTCGGCGACCGCCAGAGATCACAGCAACATGGACCTACCAATGGCTCGTCAGGTGGTCACAGAATGTCCTTGCGCTCCCCCTCCCTACCCAATTCTGCTGCCATGTACGGTGTCTATCCTTACCCTGGCGACATCAACACGATGTACGGCTATCAACCTATGCATGCTGGCCCGATGACCGCCATTCCTTACCAGCAGTACATGGAGCCCTTCTCCCTCATGAGCATGCTCACGATGCAATTGTAAGTGGCTACATTCTCCCAGGGCCTCCGAGTCCGCAGTATAGCTAATGCGTGCCATAGGGAATACTATTTCTCGGTTGACAACCTCTGCAAGGACTTGTTTCTTCGCAAGCACATGGATTCTCAGGGCTTTGTTGCCTTGTCCTTCATTGCCAGCTTCAAGCGGGTCAAGACCTTGACCGAGGATTTCAACCTTTTGCGTCACGTTTCTCACCAGCTGAGAAATGTCGAGTACATCACCGGCGAAGATGGAATTGACCGTTTGCGACCCCGGGATACATGGGAGCAGTGGGTACTCCCTCTCGACCAGCGCGATCAATCTGCCCAGAACGAGGGTCCCGCCACCGTCAATGTTCCCAAGCAGGATGATGCTACCGACTTCCAAAACAACATGGATGGAGTGAATGGTTCGGTCGTAAATGGAACCGTTGATTCTCGGGCTTCGAAGACCCTCTTGTCATCCGATGCTCCGGAGTTTTCGCCATCTCAGTCTGCCAATGCTCAGACTGAAGTCGCACACGTACGGATCCCTCCAATTGAAATCTATCCCTGAGTCAGACTCTGGTGGCCACGGTATCCGAGGCAGCATTTCACAGCTGCCTATGGAGTTAACGGCTCAGCGCTCTACTCAATCATTCCTAGCGATTGCTAATGCTCATCGGTTCCCAGGCGGAGTAAATATAGTCCATCTCCATGTCACTCATTTCCCTGCGTTTTGACGACCACTTACCCTAGGTGGGCATTCCGATCACTCATTCTGCGAGTCCGGTTGATTTTTACTGATGCCAGAGCAGCTGAACACACTGCCTGTGTCCTGGCTTGGGCAGCTTGTTCAAACCTACCGAGTACATGGTCGCAGATGAGAGAGATAAACCTCAAATATCATTTCCCAACCACTCCTACAACGACTCTCATACCTTCCCACACGAGCACCGATCCATATCCTCTACCAGAACCTCTAAATTGTGACCGCTCTCGACTCTCACCCCGCATCCTTACCATCCGAAAACTTCCAATGCACAAATGTACAATGATGTTCCCAGAGCTTAGCGTTTGATGATCGATATTTCTGCACGAAACGTCAGCAACGGCTCTACCGTTCTGGTTTGCGGTGTCCCTTTATGAGCAGCAAGGTCTTGATCACAAACAAGGTCATGCCAGATTCTGTTGGGCTTACTGAGAGGAGGTTTACTCATGTTCAAGCTGCACTGCAACCTGACATGGATAATCCCCGTCTATAAGGCTGTCCAAAGATGACTGTTCAATGAATGCTAGCCTGACTGCCGAGCTGCAAAAGTGATTTGTCTTTTCTTGCTTCTTGCTTTTTGCCCCATGTTCCCATTACCATTTATGTTTTTATTGTGATTCTGCCGTCATGACATGCATCTATGTTTGTTTCGAATCTCCCGACGACCCTTCCCAGTGAAGTGAATTGAATTACACACACTCACGCACCTGGCTTCTCTCTATTCAAGGTTTTCGTGCGTTCATACTTTACTCTCTACCTCTGTTTTCCTTTGCTTCAGTCCTGGGAGGTTTCAAAATTTCTGGAGTCCGGGCATGTTTTTACTGGGCAGTATCCCTATACCTGATGCTTGCTTCTGTGGTGCGCCGGGCTGAATCTTTCCACGACCATAGACTGTTTATCTGGGATTCTTATCTTTCCTAATACTGCGCTACTGTCTCACCTTTGCTGTTTCGATTTTTAGTACGAATGGAACAAAGAAAACCCAACAAAAGGATAATTGCTTTATGGTCTTTCTCATTGCTTCAGAACCGCTGGCACAAGTTCATCATCACCGCGGACGGGTATTCAGCTTACTATGGTTTCAATGGAGCGTCGGAGTCGCTTCTGTGCTTCTCTATATCGCCTGTCTTTCGCAACCCAAGGCATGATTGATGCGCTGCCTAACCCTCTATACTGCATTGATCTGGTGTTATCGGACTCTTGGGCTATTTATCTCAGTTTGCATCCGGGGTTTGCGTCTGAGTATCTGGTGTTTTAGTTATTTCGATTACAGAGAGCTAGGTTTATGTCCAGTCTAATAATGCTGTTTGCTGTTTGAAGCCTGAAGTATCAGATGTCTTTTGAAGCAGTGGCCTGTTCTCGTATATCATCAATCTTATAATTAACCGCGTGTTTAAGCTTCGTGCGAGGGGCGACGCAAAGAAGGTAGTATTGAGAATGGGCAGATGCATAGCAACAAATCAAGGGTATAGTAAAAGTAATTTCCCAAGTCCGGACGCTGGCAAGCAACCATGGGGAGATGACTAATCATTGCCTGCTGAGGCGGAGATCGGAGAAGCGGCGCCATGAACCAGAGCCGTCTCAGCTTCATCTACGGAGTACATTATCTAGTTACCGCCACCACTGTTCATTTCAATCAGAACTTCGGACTAGTCTCACACCACTCGCAGACATCGTCGATTTATCATGGACGTGGCTTCGCGGCAGTCATTGAGGCTGCTCCAGTCCTCCCACAGCCGACTCCTCAATTCAAGCTCCCTCCGCGGGTCATCCACAGTCACAGCGAACACCTTGAATCGGATTCGACAGAGAAATGTCTCCAATTCAGCTCGCAGATTGGCTCCAGAATCCTCTTTCTTAAATATGGGCCCGGCGTCCCTGCAGTCAGGGGGCCCGCATACATACTTCTCCAATCGCCAGACGCTGCCTCTCAACACCGTGGTTCGATTCGTACCTCAACAGACGGCATGGATTGTTGAGCGCATGGGCAAGTTCCACCGGATTCTGGAACCTGGTCTTGCGTTCATGATACCCTTCATCGACCGAATTGCCTACGTCAAGAGCTTAAAGGAATCTGCTATTGAGATACCTAGTCAGAACGCCATTACCGCCGACAATGTGACGTTGGAATTGGATGGTGTATTGTACACACGGGTGGTGGATGCATATAAGGCCAGGTAAGTTGATCTAGGTTCAATACACTCTGTGATCGGTGACGATGTTCGAGTTCTTGCCTCTGCCTGTTTCGTATATCACCAACTGAGCTGACGCTGGACCCACCTGCTTCTAGCTACGGGGTTGAGGACGCCGAGTACGCCATCTCCCAGCTTGCGCAGACGACCATGCGCTCGGAAATCGGTCAGCTTACCCTGGATCACGTCCTAAAAGAACGCGCGACACTCAACACCAACATCACCCAAGCTATCAACGAGGCCGCTCAAAGCTGGGGAGTCGTTTGTCTACGTTATGAGATCCGGGATATCCACGCCCCAGAAGGGGTGGTCGCAGCGATGCACCGCCAGGTCACGGCGGAACGCTCGAAGCGAGCGGAAATCCTTGACTCTGAGGGTCAGCGCCAAAGTGCCATCAACATTGCCGAGGGTCGCAAACAGTCGGTCATCCTGGCCTCCGAAGCTATGCGGGCCGAACGCATTAACCAGGCGGCTGGTGAGGCCGAGGCTATTTTGCTCAAGGCGCAGGCTACCGCGAAGGGCATCGACCTCGTTGCCAAGGCTATTGAGGCCGGTCAAGAGAACGCCCACGGAGCTCTGAGCCTCAGTGTTGCCGAGAAGTACGTTGATGCATTCTCCAAGTTGGCCAAGGAAGGTACCGCTGTTGTTGTCCCTGGCAATGTTGGAGACATGGGTAATATGATTGCCCAAGCCATGGCCGTTTACGGCAAGGTCAGTCAAAGCCAGGCGCGCGCTCTCGCATCGAAGGCTCTAGATGTGCAGGGTCCCGCTCAGACCGAACCGTCCAGCAGTTCCAAGGCCGCTGAGCAAACGGCAGAGCGCCACCCCAGCGACGATGTCTCCGAGCCCGTTCTAGATGAATTCGATCAGACAATCCAGTCGAAGAATTGACGTGAAGCGACTCCAATCCGGTGCTTCACCCAACTTCGTTGCCAACTTTAGCATCCTTGTATACTCACCGCTGGGTTCTAATTTCTCCTCGGCTGCCCTCCATTATATCATCAGCTTACGATCTCTCTCACATGACAACGATACTCTTATAACCTCATCTGTAACTTTAGTCTTGTCCTTAGCCACCTGCTATGGTCGTTCCATTGGATCCTTTGTCCGCCATTTTCTTTCGCATGAGCGACGTTGTACGAGCTGCAGTTTACCTGTTTAGTCAGAGAGAGGGCTCTCTTCTCTAGGCTTTATGTACAGTAGATAAAAAGCAAAATCAATAGCTTGGAATCATTGTGTATCTTTCGTAGGTAGATGTTTGCATGTTTCGAATTGACGAGTTGCGCATTTCTGGCACCTGCTACTAGGTACTAGGTATAATCCAGACCGTTTCAGATAACTATGGGCAGGAAGGAGCTCGGGCCACCGCCTCCCGCGCCGCCCATTCTGGAGATCGCGACTTTTGAGTAGAAACGAGCGCGCTTTCATCGGACCAAGGTCCGCGTTCACTCCGCCAAATCCTCCTCCTCCTCTTCCTCCTCCTCTCCTCCGCCCCAACGACCAGACCAAGTGGTCTCCCTCACAACCTCCTACTCATACTCGTCTACTCATAGCTGCGGACAAACAGGCCCATGGTCCGATGAGCCGGGGACAAGATTGCTTTGCGATGCTCCATCTAAGCAGTCCCTCATCCACGTTTATTTGCCTGTGATCAGCTCCGAACACGGACCTCGCCAACAACGAACTTTAAGCGAGCTGCCTTTCTTCTCCTTCCCTTCCCCACGACTAGAGCGACCAAGCGATAAGCTACTGCGATGCATATTATAAAGCCAGTCTGGCTGACACATGGGGGTATGTTTCGTGACCTCTTGTCGTCGAGCGAATTTGCTGGGCAGAGTCGTTCTCCCTTCACATGTGCTGGCGCGGTCGGTGTTTCTCGAATCGGCTTAAGCTAACCGTCTTCCTTCTTGGATATTCTTTACAGGCGAGAGAAAGGATTTTGAAGTATATAGCTGCGATGTATCTCCCGATGGATCTCGCTTGGTCACAGCGGCTGGAGGTTAGTGATGGGCGATCCCCCCAGGGACATAGGTGCATTCATGGTTTTATGGGATGAGCGCTAACTAGAAATGTTTCCCTTTGCGATTCTCAGATGGTTATGTTCGGATCTGGTCTACGGAAGCGATTTGCAATACAGAGGACCCGCAGCATGCCAGTAAGCCGAAGCAGCTGGCTTCCATGAGCAATCACTCCGGCACGATTCACACGGTCCGATTTTCGCCCAACGGGAAATACTTGGCGTCGGGGGCAGATGACAAGATTGTGTGCATATACACGCTGGATGCCAACCCTCCATCTCATGCGTCAACGTTCGGTGGGTACCAGGAAGTCCGCAATGAAGTGGTTCGGCTGAACGAACGCTGGCTAATGGGCTCGTGCTACGATTTCTAGGGTCCAACGAGGCACCCCCTGTGGAGAATTGGCGCACCATCCGAAGATTGATCGGCCACGACAACGACGTTCAAGATCTAGGCTGGTCGTACGATTCTTCCATTCTGGTCTCCGTTGGCTTGGATTCCAAGGTCGTGGTATGGTCGGGACACACATTCGAGAAGCTCAAGACCCTGTCTATCCACCAGAGCCATGTCAAGGGGATCACATTCGACCCCGCAAACAAATACTTCGCTACGGCGAGCGACGATCGCACGGTTCGCATTTTCCGATTCACGTCGCCTGCTCCTAATTCCACCGCCCATGACCAAATGAACAACTTCATTCTCGAACAGACCATTACTGCACCCTTCTCGAATTCGCCTCTCACCGCATATTTCCGTCGTTGCTCGTGGTCGCCCGATGGTATGCATATTGCGGCCGCGAATGCGGTCAACGGCCCCGTGAGCTCTGTCGCGATTATCAATCGGGGGACATGGGACGGTGACATCAACCTCATTGGGCACGAAGCGCCTGTCGAAGTGTGCGCTTTTTCTCCGCGACTTTACTCTCCGGAGCCGATCAACAAGCAAGCCGTGGATAGCCAAGGTCATGCGGTGCACAACGCCGTTACCGTCATTGCTTGCGCAGGAGGGGATAAGTCCCTTAGTATCTGGATCACTAGCAATCCCAGACCGATTGTGGTAGCGCAAGAACTAGCTGCCAAGTCGATATCTGATTTGGCCTGGAGTCCGGACGGGAAGTGCCTCTACGCGACTGCGCTCGACGGTACGATTCTTATGGTTCGGTTTGAAGACGGCGATCTCGGATATGCAATGGAAATGGAAGAGAACGAGAAGTCGCTCACCAAGTTCGGCACTAATCGCCGAGGCGCGGGTATTGCAGAGACTACGGATGGTCTACTGCTGGAGGAGAAGAGCAAGGCTGGAGAAATCAAGGGCGTCGAAGGTCGCATGGGGGCTCTGATGGGCGACGACCACACAACAGCCGAGGCCACGGCCAATGGAAAACCGGCGCCAGCACAGTCGAATGGCGTCACCACAACTGCTGCTCCATCACCCGCTTCAGATGCCCAAAAGGACCAGCCCAATGGTACAGCAACGACAACAGCGGCACCGGAGCCGGAGAAGCCTGATCCTTATCAGGCCAAACTCGAGAGGTTGAAGCAGCGTCCCACATATACGAAGGATGGAAGAAAGCGGATAGCTCCTCTCTTAGTGTCTGGAGCTGGCGCTGCCGAATCATCCCTCCCCCAGTCTCGATTAATGGCATCAGTCAGCAGTCAAGTCAAGGCTGATACCCCGCAATCGATTCTCGATCTTTCAAAGCCTTTCGACGGGCTACCCAAGGGCGGGCTCCCAGCGATGATTCTCGGAAACAAGCGCAAGCTCGCTCAGCTTGAGGGTGACGATGATGGGCATATCGAGAAGCGTGTGGCTCTGGCGAGCCAGAACGGGGCGACCCCGATTCTTGCTCACACGCCTGACGGCCTGCTACCTGCGCAGACCCAGCCCGCACCAGAAGGCCAGCAACAAACGCCAGAATATATACGGCCTGCAGTCACGAATCCTTGCATGGCCATGAGCCAGCTCCGGCTAGCTGTTCCCAAAATTCGAAGTCACATCCTACGGGCTATCGACCCTACAGGCAAACCCACGGAGCCCCCGGGCACATCCAGCGAGTCTAGCAAATCACGAGTGGATGTTATCTTTGAAGCCCGCAACCCGTCCCCGGCAAGCTTGACTGGACGGGTCGTTGACCGAGAACCCGTTCGCCTCACCTTGTTCCGTGGTGAGCAGCCCTTGTGGCAGGATTACCTCCCGCGCCCTGTTTTGCTGGTGACAGGTAATCAGAGCATGTGGGCTGCAGCCTGCGAGGAGGGGTCTGTGTACATCTGGACTCCAGCTGGGCGTCGCTTAGTCAGTGCGCTGGTGCTAGAAGCACAACCAGTAATTCTCGAGTGCAATGGTCCGTGGATTCTCTGCATCACGGCTGTGGGGATGTGCTACGTCTGGAATGTGAAGCACCTCTCCTCGCCCCATCCGCCCATCTCCCTTCAGCCGGTGCTGGATGCGGCCATTCACACCTTGGGTACTCAGCCCACGACTGCTCCCGCAATCACCAATGCTCGAATCAACTCCGAAGGGCGGATAGTAGTCGCATTGACGAATGGTGAGGGGTACTCCTATTCCCCGTCCATGTACACATGGCAGCGGATCTCAGAGAGCTGGTGGGCCGTCGGCAGTCAGTATTGGAACACCACAGATGCTCCTGTGGGCAACCTTCAAGCGGCCGATGCGCAGCAGGATAAGGCCGCCAAGGCAGCAGTGTCCGCCGGTATTGTACCGTTCTTAGAACGCAATACAACCAACGAGACGTTGCTGCGGGGTCGTGCGTACTTCCTGCAGCGGCTGATCAAGGTCCTACTTTCACGCGAGGGCTACGAAAGCTTTGAGTCCAGCGTATCCATCGCTCACTTGGAGAATCGCGTGGCTGCCGCGCTCTCTCTGGGGGCCAAGGATGAATTCCGTCTTTACCTCTCGATGTACGCCAAGCGTTTAGGCGCGGAAGGGCTGAAGATGAAGGTGGAGGAGCTCCTCAAAGGCCTGATCGGTGGTCTGTTTGAGGAGGATGACACGGGTAGCGTTCGTCGTTTGCAGGACAATGAGCAAGAGGATCGAAATTGGCGCGAGAGCTCCGAGACGCTCTGTGGCTGGCCACGGGAAGTGTTGCTCAAGGAAGTGATACTGTCGCTCGGTAGGTTCTGGCCGCTGTACTACGTTTCTTGTTCCATGCTTGCTGACCAGGTTACTTTCTAGGCAAACATCGGGATCTCCAGCGGGTGACGGTGCCATATGCGAAACTGCTGGGGATGGTGGACAACGAATCGGAAGTGGGCGATGCCATGGAGACGTAGACTTCTTTCCTTGCAGCAGCTTTCAAACCGATGATTGCGTTTGGCGTTCTGTTGGCGTTGCGTAGTCAAATTCACTCCATACCGATCGGGGACGGATGGATGTATGCATGCATGGGACTGAGGGAGGGCTTCTTTTTCTTTCATTTAAGCATCATGCGGATCGCGCTTGCAATGTTATGTACTATATTGAAGTTGATAATCTTGACCATGGTCGGAGGTGTTTATTGCAATTCGCTTCGGCGACGGCGACAGCGACAGCGACAGCGACAGCGACAGCGACAGCTCCTCGCTATGTGCTATAAAGGAGTAGAGTCATGGGAACGACAACACGTGATGAGACAGGGCTTGCAGGGCTGGCGAGTCATGTGGGCGGTGAGGGGTGACGAAAAAGAACAGGGCGTCTCTCCACCGCACACAACCTGAGAAGTAAGCGTCATACTGCTTGCTGCTCCAGGTGTTGTTGCTTAACCACTCATCTTCAATTGGGAACCAATTGGGCCTGTAAAGCCTGTAAAAGATCTTTTCCAATTCTACCTACTCATAAACCACCAATTTCCGCCCACAGCTTTGCTGGTGGGCATCGTCATCACGTCTCCTTCACAGCCGGGCCACCTGCTGTTACTTTCATTCCGCTTCCATCGCTCCGCAGCTGGTCCTGCTTTGGCCTCGCGCCTGATCCAATCTCAATCTCTCTTCCTCAACCCCTCCTCCTCTTCCTCCTCTTCCACCTCTGCTTTCTCCCCCTCCTTCTCCTTCTCCTCCCCGCTCTCCTTCCTCTCCCGCCGGTCCTATTCCAGCAAGAAGAAGAAATCCTCCAAAATGCCCCCCAAGAAGGCTGTCGTGCAAGAGAAGGTCCTTCTGGGCCGCCCAGGAAATAACCTGAAGAGTGGTATCGTATGTGAGCATTGACCCCACCGACTAATTTTCCTTTCTGCTTTTTCCCAAATCTTTTTTTGACCCTGCCCGTTCTGCTGCCCCTCCCAGCCTTCCGAATTTTTTATCCGTTCCCCTTACCCTATTTAACCTCGCTTCCCATGCATGAAAAAAATTTCTTCCTTTCTTTTCTCCCGTCAACACCATAATTCCCACACAATCCTTTGTAGGAATTAAGGAACACAAGATGGTTTAACATCTTTCTAGGTTGGTCTCGCCAACGTCGGCAAGTCCACTCTCTTCCAGGCTATCACGAAGTCTACGCTGGGTAACCCCGCCAACTTCCCCTATGCCACCATCGACCCCGAGGAAGCTCGTGTCATCGTCCCCGATGACCGCTTCGACTGGCTGTGCGAGCACTACAAGCCCAAGTCCGTGGTGCCTGCCAACTTGACCGTGTATGATATCGCCGGTCTGACCCGCGGTGCCTCCACTGGTGCTGGTCTCGGTAACTCGTTCTTGTCTCACATCCGTGCCGTCGATGCCATCTTCCAGGTCGTTCGTTGCTTCGACGATGCTGAGATCATCCACGTCGAGGGTGACGTCGACCCCGTTCGTGACTTGAACATCATCAGCGAGGAGCTGCGCGTCAAGGATATCGAGTTCGTCGAGAAGGCGCTCGAGGCCCTCCAGAAGCAGACCAAGCGTGGTGGTCAGACTCTGGAGATGAAGAAGCTGCGCGAGGAGGAGGGCACTGTTGCCAAGGTCCTCGAGTGGCTGCGCGAGGGCAAGGATGTCCGCAAGGGTGAATGGGGCCCTAAGGAGGTACGTTTTATCATTCTCCCCTTTTGCAATTTTTTTTCCAGCCCTCCTACCCATTATCATGATGAATAAGAGCATCGCTCGAATATAACCCAGCTCGTCGAGTGGCCTCATTTTATTTACAACGCAGAGGCCACATTGAGAGAAAATCCTATCTGATGATTTACTTTTTATCGCTATTCATACCGAATGTCGCGTGATGGAAATAGAGTACTAATCAGTGTCGCTCTATAGGTCGAGACTATCAACCCTCTCATGTTGTTGACGGCTAAGCCCGTTGTCTACCTGGTCAACCTGAGCGAGAAGGACTACATCCGCCAGAAGAACAAGTACCTGCCCAAGGTGTTCGAGTGGATCAAGACCAACTCCCCCGGTGATCCCCTGATCCCCATTTCCGTCTCCTTCGAGGAGCGCCTGACCCGGTTCGAGGACGATGCCGCCGCCCTCGAGGAGTGCAAGAGCCTGAACACCAAGTCCGCCCTGCCCAAGGTGATCACCACCATGCGTCAGTCGTTGAACTTGGCCAGTTTCTTCACCACTGGTACCGACGAAGTCCGTCAATGGACCATCCGCAAGGGTATTAAGGCCCCTGCCGCGGCCGGTGTCATCCACACCGACTTCGAGAAGACCTTTATCCAGGCCATCGTGTACAACTACGCTACCCTGCGTGAGTACGGCGACGAAGGCGCCGTCAAGGCCGCCGGTAAGATCATGACCAAGGGCAAGGATTACGTCGTCGAGGACGGCGACATCCTGCTGATCAAGGCCGGTGCTGCTCGCAGCTAGATGTAGTTGTCGGGTGAAAACGGCATGTAGCAATTAAAAATGAAATTGTTATGAATTATCAACTGACTGTGTCCGAGTAAATGTGTATGTAGAAAAGGTGCTGCTTGTGCCAGTCTGCTACAAGTACTGCATCAAACGCTATATCTCACCAGTTTGGCAGCGCACTTGCTTCAGGAGCTACTCACGTAGGTTCCTACACGGCTCTGGACGCGGTTTTGTACGGGATGCTGGTTGCGTCACTGGCTAGTGGTAGAACTACTTGCGGTCTGTTCCATGTATGACCAATTACCTTCTGCATTATTGCCTTGAAAGTGATGTGATGTGTTTGATACGGACCACGCTGTTTCTCGCCCTCGCCTTTCGTATGATTAAACTCTAGGAGGATCTACGCATAATGATCCGATCGGAGGTACAATCAACAAAGATGAGGGGGTTAGGACGAGCTGGAAGGAGAAGATGGCTCATTCATGGACCAAAGCACCATCAGTCGTAGCTTAGACTGCACGGGCCAATAGAAATCAGCAGGAACAACCAAAAGCCTACGTGAAAGAAGCGCCCAAGCAGTAGACTACTCATACTTTGAATGATGTCCATCGACGTGCTCGTCGAGTTGGGAAACAGAGGATGCGCGGGAGAGAGAGAGAGAGAGAGAGAGAGAGAGAGAGAGAGAGAGAGAGAGAGAGAGTATGAAACACGTGACCCGTCGCCTTCCCCGCAACGCCCACCTGCAGATAATGCCATCCGCCGCCGCGATCCCAACAACAGGTTCCGAGAATCCACAGCATCAGACACCATGTTCAAGAAAGAGTGAGTTCGTTCTGCAGTTGGGAGAGACAGGATTTCCCTACAATGATTGCAATTTCCAACATCAATTCCCCCGCATCCACCAATACAATCAAAGAAATCCTTCCTCCAGGGAAATCATTCTTACCCCGCCTACCTACCTACCTACCTACCTACCTTTTCCCAAACCACCTACAAGCCAGCCCACCGAACTCCCGATCCCTCCTAGCACCCTTTACATCCTACATTGTATAAAACCCCCAAGCTAATGATTCGATATTTCGGAAACGTGACAGAATCCCCCCGAGCAACCGCTCGAAAGTCAAATCCAGCGTGCAGCGCGCCCTGCGCCAACGCTTCCTGGAGACCTACCCGGGCTTCGAGCCGTACATCGAGGAGGTCCTGCCCAAGAAAGCCCAGCTGGATGCCGTGAAGCTGTACGCGACCCCCCCCTTCTTCTTCTCCCAGCCTAGCTACCCCCCCCCGCAAATCAGCTAATCAAAAAGCAAAACAGCCCCGAAAGAGCCACCCTCTACAGCATCGACTCCACCCCGCTCTTCTTCCAACCGCTCGACGGCCCGCCGATCCCGCATCTGAAGCTTCTGCACGCCTACCCGGACGCTCTGCCGACGGTGCAGATCGATCGCGGCGCCATCCGGTTCGTGCTCTCGGGCGCGGCGCTCATGGCGCCGGGCTTGACGTCGGCGGGCGGGAAGTTGCCGGACACCGAGCATGCGGTGGAGGCGGGGCAGGTGGTGGCGGTCAAGGCCGAGGGGAAGGAGACGGTTTGTCTGGTCGGGGTGTTGAAGGTCGGGACCGAGGAGATTAAGGCGAAGGGGAAGGGGGTCGTTTTGGATGAGGGGCATTATCTTGGGGATGGTCTTTGGAGGATGGCTTTGGATTAGACTTTTCACCAACTGGGATGAGAGGGGTTGGAGGGGGCGGTGGGAGATCCGGGGATCAGGGAAGGGGTTTAGATGGTGAGAATGTGGTTGGGTTCGGTTACTGTTTATGTCGAAGATGAGTGCACGCTTGTATTCTTGATACCATTGCTTTGCAGCTGAATGGATGCATTGGATTTCTCTGTTCTTGGGGTTTGATGTTCATGGGATAGAGAGGGGGAAAGGCTCGTATATACATATTCTCCGAGATTCTAACTTTACACCGGATGTGATCACTCCAGTTCGGGAGGCCGCGGGGACAGCGGCGACGTCGGCGATAGCGAGGACCACGACGGCGTCCGCATCGCCAGTCCCAGCCCCTTCACACTCGTGCTGGACCCGTTCATCCCCATTCCCGCCCCGGGCAGCTGGAGCCCTCCATCCCTCAGCCCTGCGCGGGTCACCGCCCGCTGTAACATCTCCCCCGTCTCGTCCAGGGCGATCAGGAATCTCGCCAGCTCCGCGCACAGGTCCCAGTCGTTCTTCTTCGAGGCCAGGTACATCAGCCGGACCACGTAGTCCTCGATCGGAGCGTCGTGGTCGTCCGCATCATCCTCGAAGGCTTGCAGCACCAGCAGATACCCCACGGCGGTCTTGAGGGACCCGAGCTTGAGGGCTTGCTCGAAGAGGTCCTTTGGCGACGGGAGGTAGGTGAACAAGGTGCGCCAGGAGCGCAACTCCGTCTTGCGCGTGCATTGGACCACCACGTCCAGGTACACCTTGGTGGGTAACGATGCTTGTAGGAAGGAGATGACTATCGGCAGCAGTGGCTCGTGTTTCAGGGAGGGGTCGTCGACCTTGCTGTCGCGGCTCTGGTTGTCGACCTCATCGTCCAGGACGTGGTGAAGGAGGATCTCGAGGGCGTGCGGAAAGTAGGATAGGTGGGAGAAGTGCTGGCACAACGACAGCGCTGCAGGCATGTCGCGCTGTGTCAGACTGTGCTGAAGGAAGTACGGCAGAAAGAGGTGTGTCTAGCAGAGTTAGTGCTGCACCGGCGTCACTGGGTGGAAACTCACCCTAATGGCGAACTTCAGCACGGAGAAGGTGACATCGCGTCGCTGGGTCATCTCGGCTTCCACACCAAGCACAATTCCCTTGTTCAGGAGAACAGACAGCGGATAAAAGTCCAGGGGTACCTCCAGGGGTTTGGATGCCTCTTCCCGCTGTAGAACGTCCTGCACATCCCCCCAGGCGATGAGCTCTTTCCCACAAAACGTCCATAGCGAGTCCCTCAACGAAAAGTCGCTGCGGTACATATTCAAGGCCATTTCAGCCGATGGACTGGCCGGGAGGGACTCGTCGACAGGCGCAAAGTTGAACGATAATTGATCTCGCATCAGGATATAGTATTCGACATCGTGGGATACCACCCGCATGTCGTATTTCAAATCGCCAGTCTCCGAGAACGATGGCTGTAGCAGGACCAAGTTGCCATCAACCAAAAGAAGTACAGATGCCACCTTGACATCCTGGGAAGGGTCGCCGTTCCCTGGTCGCTTTTTGTTAGATCTAGCTCTCGCAAGGTGCTGGCACACTTACGCATTTGGTCTTCGGGCAAAATCCAACTGATTGCCCGGACCCTGGTTGGCGCGCGCACAATCCCATGAAATGCAATCTGCCCAACGGGCACCAATGTTATTCGGGAGTGAGCTGAATTGATGATATAGTGATAAAGAATATTGTCGTATGTATAAACGAGCAGCGAGTCCTCGCCTGATGCTCCGACAAAGACGACTGGCGAAGGTAGGTATTCAATGTGTAGGATGGATTGATTGTTGAGAGGCATTTCCCGCGAGTACAACCGCAACTTCGCAGTCGATCAGTATAGCCGCGATCAGACATCGATGGCACACTTACCTCGTAAGATCCGTCATTGTCAATGGCGGCGATCAGAATGTGTCCGTACCAGCACATGCCCCCACGTACCGCGAAGGAATTCTCAATCTTGGGATCCTCGAACACTTTCCAACGTCCGCTGTTGACGCTGTAGTGTGCAAGCCCTCGTCTGCCCGCGATAGCTACATATCTCCCATCCTGTGAGACAACACTAGAGCGAATCGGCCACTGTGAGTGAAGGTAACTCGGAGGATATTGAGCATGATGCCACAGCGAGTCCTTCCCCGAAATGGTCATAAGATCGGGTAGATCATGGCCACGGTAGAGGATAACCTCGGTTCCAGTTTGCAGCAGGCCTCTAGCCAGGTTCGCAGACGAATAACAGCCTGTCAAAGCGCTCCGTGCTGTCTCCAGAATCCACAAGCGACGGTCGTTCTGGCCTGTAAGTATGATTTCTGACCCTCCACCGATCCAACAACCATGAGAAGTTCCAGTCACCCAGTTCTCGCCGTTTGAGTTAGCAAGAGATCGGTCCGCCGCAAAGCTACTCTCTCCCGACTTCCCAAAAACGCTCCATGTTGTCCAACCATGCTTATACCCAGCAAACAGGCAATAGCCGTCTGGCGAATAGCTCATAAATGTAACACTGCCCGTCGTGGTTGGCGAAGCCGGGAGTTGTAGTTTGTGCGATAGAGGAACATTGCCCAGGTAGTCCTTGGCTGTGTAGACTAGGATCTCTCCGTTGGCGCAGCTCACTGTGAGCAGAGAAAATCGTGCATTAACTACTACCTTGACGGCTCTCTCGCCATCATTCTTGGGGTCATGGAAGCAATGGCCTTGGAACAACTTCCTGGAGTCATCCGAGTCCTCTGGGGCTCGCTGCACGGCATACGCCTGTCCCTCGTTGGTGACCCATATCAGCAGGTTGATAGCACGATCATACACCATGTCCGTGATTGATGTGCGCTTTGAAACCCCCAGAATCCGACTAAGAAGTTCTGACTTGGTTTGCGAGCCGTCCGCATCCGGGTTCCAACGAATGCATTGGATGGCCGCAGGTTTGACAGTTGCGACAACGAGCTCATTATCAAGTGCGAGAGCCTTGGCGATTCCCGACTCTATCTTGATAGCCATTCGGAAACGTATGCTGACATCTCGAACGCCAGTGGCCTCTTCCTCCGCGGCTAACCGAGCGAGCGTCTGGCGGCGGGTTGAAGTCGAGGTAGATTGATCAAAGAACTGTTGATATACACGGGTATTAGGGCTAACAGCGATGGTATAGGTAAGAAGATATCCGTTCAGCGTCTGAGCAACAAGTATATTCGAGTCGGGATGCATCAAAAGGGCCACGTTGGGACCATAGTTCTCCAGCGAAGAGGCGGACCGAGCAACGGCAGCAACAACGGCGGTAGGCTATATTACCCGTCAACATGCACGCTCTACCCAACAAGATCAGCAAAAGCTTCACTTACTCTTGTTTGCCAGAGAGCGATCGACGAACCGGTCATTGTCGCAAACATATAACCACTGCGAGAGACACAAAGGCCGGCAAGAGGCTCGTCAGCCCACGCCGTCTCCGCAATGGCCGGTTTGTCACGGGCATTTTCAATGTTCAGCGCCTCCTCCTGTGCCGTAGGGCTATCGTAGTTCAGGGATTCGTCGTCGTCAGATGTGAGAACCGGTATTCCAGGGCCATTGATCGTATAGACCCGGGGGACTCCATAGGGCCAGTACATGGCTCGGTGCAGGCGCGAGAGTCACGGAGTAGAGGAGCAGCTTCACATCGAGTCATCTTCGGTTGAGGCTAGAACGTTAGATTGCCGGACTCGAGACAGAGATTCCCCCGTATCTGCCGACCATGTCCGTTCCAGTAATTGTCCCGACTGCGCTGTAGATTTGATGGATTGTCGTACCGGAAGTTAATATGAGCTGGAGGGCAGTCGAGAGCACGGAGGCTATCACGTGCAGGTAAGCTCCCGAAGCAAACAAACCAAACAAGACTAAGGGCCCCCGCATCCTAAATTCCGCCTCCCCGCCGACTCTTTTGGCCAGCAAGATAATCTCCTCCCCTTTCGCATTGATACCCAATCTGCTCACATCATGGTACGTGGGCCCCTTTTAGTGTTTCAACTGCATACACTCCCCCTCTCAACTTACTTTCTGACGTGTCTTATCATCTAGGCTCCTACCGAGTCCAAGAAGCGCTTGGCGCTTGCTATCATCGACTTCCTAGGTGCCAGCTTGAAGGATGGCACTCTCGGTGCCGATGACGCCGAATCCATCGAGATCGCCCAGTCCTGCATCGCGGATACGTTCAAGGTTGACCCCTCCGACGAGGCGGCTGTGAAGGATGCTCTTGGTGGACAGTCTCTGGCCAGCATCTACAGCGTCTATGAGAAACTGCGGAACAAGCCCGCTGCCGGCGGTGCTGCGACTGAAGGGAAGCCCCAGAGCGGCGCTCCCACTCCGGAATCCGACAAGCTGAAGTCGGAGGGAAACGCCGCCATGGCGCGCAAGGACTACAGCAGTGCGATCGACTTGTACACCCAGGCTCTGGCCATCGCCCCCTCGAACCCCATCTACCTCTCCAACCGGGCTGCTGCCTACTCCGCCGCCGGACAGCACGAAAAGGCGGTTGAGGACGCGGAGCTTGCCACCGCTGTCGATCCCAAGTACTCCAAGGCCTGGAGCCGTCTGGGTCTGGCTCGTTTCGACCTGGCCGACTACCACGGTGCCCTCGAGGCCTACGAGAAGGGCATCGAGGCTGAGGGTAACGGCGGCAGCGAGGCCATGAAGCGGGGTCTGGAGACCACCAAGAGAAAGATCGAGGAGTCGCAGCGCGGTGCGGAGCCCCCCTCTGACGCCGTTGATGATGCCGCTGGCGCCTCTCGCGGTGCCGGCGGTATGCCCGATCTCTCTTCCCTCGCTAGCATGCTCGGAGGCGGTGGTGGCGGCGGCGCCGGCCGCGGCGGTATGCCCGATCTTAGCTCTATCATGAGCAACCCCATGTTCGCCAGCATGGCCCAAAACCTGATGAGCAACCCCGATGCGCTCAACAACCTCATGAGCAACCCCCAGCTCAGACAGATGGCTGAGAACTTTGGCCGCGGAGGTGGTATGCCCGATAT